TCTATAGGTAAAAAAAAAAAACAAAACAAAAAACAAACAAACACATTTCCCTGTGTTTTCCTAATCTTTAAATCTAGACTGTTTAAGTTAAAAAAACTGCTTGACTTTAAAATTGTGATAATCTTGAACTCTAGGCCTTTGGTAATGGTTAATATTTAACACTGTCATTGTCTATTACCTCCGGAGAGTTAATTATAAATGGCGCCTATATAATTTCTAATTAAAAAACTGAAATTTTGAGATCATGATCTACAATTCTGGTAAACAATAACTAGCTCAAAATTTAATGGTTTAATCTAAGGCATATATGCCTTAAAGTTATAATGTTAGGTATAAATACTTTTATTCTTTGTTTAAATGTGTTTACTTAAAAATTTTTTAAAAAGCTCATGATATTCAATTTCATGTCATCTCACCTTCGAAACAATTAATTCATGTGTTTATATATAAGTCATCTAAAGGGATGATCGTAAAACAGCTATTACAATGTCTTACAAGCTAAAGATTAAATAATAAGATAACAACTCTAAATACAAATTAAATATGTGTTTAAAAAATATTGTACTTTAACAACTTGCTACAAAAAATATAATATGAGGGCCTCCCCTGGTGGCGCAGCGGTTGAGCACTGGGCTGCGAAGCTGCCCGCAGCTTCTGCAGCACCGGTTCAATCCCCGGCCGCCAGTGAGGGTCCCACATGGCGTGACAGACCTCCCCTGTCACCTGCTGCTCCCCTCAGCTGTGTATTTAGTCAGTCTGCCTGCTCTGTTCCCCGCTCTGGCCCTGGTGAATTCTCTCACCCTCCCGCACTTCTGACTGTACCCAGTGCTTGTATAAATAAATAAATAAATCTTTAAAAAATATATAATAGGAATGATATAATAATAAAAATGTTTTAAAATACTTAAGACTTCTTAAAACTTAATATATTCTGATAGACAATCCTAGCACTGACCACAGTAAAACTACCAACTCCAAGCCCCTGATCCTAAAAACTGACCATATGATTACTTGCCTCCTTCAAAGACACATAAAGTAATGGTTAAGGCAGTTAACCATAAAAAACTAAGTAATGTTACTCAAAAGCCAAAGAATTCCATTATCACTTCAGGCTACATTTGCTTAGGCTATTAAAAAAAATTACACTAATCTAAACCCAAAAACTGTAAAATGACAAGTCATTCTCTCCTACTATCTTAAAATTTTAAGTATGTGACTGCCATCCCTTATAATCTGCCCCCATAAAAACACATATACCAAGCTCTATTTCTTACATTGCAAATTCCTCCAGACTAACAGCTGGCCTCACAGCGATAGAACATTTTATCCCAGCAAAATCAAGCCCTAAGTCCTTGGTCTTGTACCAACACGCTTTATAAGTACCAACCTGGCTGGGACCTGTAGAACTTGTAACCTGCGGGAGGGGTTGTATTTCTGTTTTGTCACCTACAGGACCACTCTGAGCTCCAGCAAAAACAATAAGATTGATTAGCCTTTTCGAGAATGGTGATGGCTCACCATGCCAGCAAAAACACTCACCTGGGGGCACATCAAAGTCCTAACCACTAATGCGGAAAATCTACTCTCCAAACAGGGAGAAACCTGCACCTCTGAAAATCTATTTTTGGTGCTCTTCTCTTGCATTTTAAGTTGATCCTCGGTGGGGAGTCTTCTGCTCCTCCTTTTTATTCCTACTGTCGAAGCTCAAATAAAATGGGTGCATGTTATTAACCCCTCTGTCTTTCATGTTGTTGGATGGGGGGACCCAGAACTCCCTATTAGATCTAATGACTCCCTTCACATAGGTTAGCCAGAGATTCCAGGCTCTTTAACTGCATATCCTACTCATACTCTTCCTTCCCCTTGGACAATTTCTAGTCCAGGACACACTTTATGCTTGACTTTATCCTTTAATACTTACTGTGTGTCCTTGCAATGGTACATAGTTTAGTTCAAGCTCCACCTGATGAATGTTGAATTGTTGCTATCCCTCAGCAGCGTTTTCTATGCATGGTGGGAATAGGAAAGTTCAACCCTAAATTTAATTATGACTCCATCCTAGCCCCTTTGATTCATAATTGCCATCAGCCATGGACACAGATGAAGCACGTAGACAATGAATTCCATTGGGAAGTTTGCATATCTACCTTCAGCTCAGAAACTTTTTTTTTTTAAAGATTTATTTATTTATTATACAAGCACCGGGTACAGCAGAAGCATGGGAGGGTGAGAGAATTCACCAGAGACAGAGCGGGGAGCAGAACAGGCAAACTGATGAAATACACTGCTGAGGGGAATAGCGGGCAGCAGGAGAGGTCTGTCGTGCCTTGTGGGACCGTCACCGGCTGTCGGGGATCGAACTGGCGCTGCAGAAGCAGCGAGCAGCCCAGCGCTCAACCACTGCGCTACCACAGGAGGCCCTCAGAAACTTCTTTATTTAATAAAACTTGCTCCCTACAAAATTGGGGCCGACAAGGCCTCCTGGTTATGGATAAAAACAACATGGCAGGGCAAAACCTGGAATTGGACTTTTCCCTATTTTTACCAGCACTCCCATCCTTTATGGAATCCAGACTGCTGCAACAACCATTCCATGTGCTCTCCCCTTAAGACAAAAATTTGGAGAGCCACGACTTGGTACTTGCCCTATGTCCTAGCCAAGGCCCGGCTCAGTTCACTCAGGGCAAATTTCTACGGGATTATACAGATACTTTCAGTAACACCCCAGTCTGTACCTCCTGTCTCTTTCTTGTTAACCCCTTCTCTACCACCCTTCTCTGGTGATAGTATTACTTTTCCAGCTGCCACACTTATCAACCCCTGTGTTGACAGTCAGTATCTTCACAATCATTCCATCTTCCTTATTAAACAACAGATATAAGCTTGGATTTCTGTTGTTTTTTTAAAGATTTATCTATGCATACAAGAACTGGGGTACAGGCCAGAGGTGCAGGGGGTGAGAGGATTCACCAGAGACAGAGCGGGGAACAGAACAGGCAGACTGACTGAAATACACTGCGGAGGGGAGCAGCGGGAGAGACAGGAGAGGTCTGCTGCGCCATATGTGTAGCTCCCTGGCTGGCCAGGGATTGAACTCCCCTTGCACCACCAGGGAGGCCTGCTTGGATTCCTGTTAACATCACACATCCTTAGGAAGGTAGTTCCCCTTTAGCTCAACTGGTTCATGCTCTAGACCACTGTAATAGAGTCTGTCATTTTTTAGCCTCTTTGACTACTGGAATTATTTTTCTTGTTTCTCTGGCTGCTATTTATTGCAGCCCTAACCCATCTGCTTTGGATAAATCTCTTCAAAGAGCTAGTGAAGTTCACCAATATATGACCAATACCACTGAAGATTTGTTGGCACAGGCCAATATAGATTCTTGCCTGGCTTGATGCCCTAGAGTCTCCTGTACTATGGCTTGGTGAGCATCAGCTGGCTTTGTGGACACAATCCCTCCTCCAATGTGGCACTGGTTATGATTGGTTTTGTGTGACTAATCTTACTGCTGATAATTTCACTTCTTTCTCTTGGATGTCTCAAAAACAAAACCTGCTTCAGTCATTTATTTCTCCTTTACATACTTCTGTCCAAGAACTACAAACTAAACTTCTCCAACTTCATGAGATCCAACAAAAAACATCACAATACACTATTGATGGTCTCCTGAACTCCTCTTCCTTGGCGGATCTCCGCACCTGGTAGTCTGGCCTTACTATTCATACTCTTATTCAGATTATTTTATGTCTGTTATTTTCCTTGTCTTTATAATAGGACGCAGGTGCCACCGCCATGCTTGTTTCTGCAGACAGCAATGACAGTCAATGATGATTTACCAGCTGACCCTTCATCGTCCTTCACCCCCATCCTCCCATTCTTTTTTTTTTTTTTAAGATTTATTTTATTTATCCATGCATACAAGAGCTGGGGTGTAGGCCAGAGGTGCAGGCTTGGGGCAGTGAGAAGATTCACCAGAGACAGAGTGGGGAGCAGAACAGGCAGATTGACGAGAAACAATGCTGAGGGGAGCAGCTAATGAGAGAGGAGAGGTCTGCTGCGCCATGTGGGCCAGCTCCCTGGTCAGGGATCAAACTCATGCTGCAGAGGCTGCCAACAGCTTCCCAGTGTGAGATCCAATCCCCTGCTCCACTAGGGAGGCCCACCCATCCTCCCCTTCTGCCCTATAAAACAAAAAGGGGGGATATGTGGCCTCTTTTCCACCTAGGGCCTCTGCACCTGTGTGCCCATGCCCTCTATATGCGCCTATGTGTGAGTGAAAGAATTGGATAAGGCACTCCTGCATGACTGCCTTGAGACAATGGCCCACATCATGAGGTGGCTGGGGATGCCTAGGTAACTGTTGACTGAGTGCGTGTTCAGGGTCCAAGACAGTCTGGGAGCATCTCAGAAATTACACCGGATACCTGCATGGGAAGTGCTTCCTGTATACGTGGCTGACATGTCCTTCCCTGTTCCCCATAAAATTGATTACCCTTTGATCTCTTTGAAATCCTCTTCTCAATATAATGAATACCCTTTGTTTCCCCTGGACACTGCTTCTCCTGCCATTGCCACATAATCAGTCATGCTTGTTCATTATTACTAAATAAATAGCAAGAGAGCTGTTTACTGAGAAGCATGACTCGTCCCTCAAACGTGTCTCCGGGAGCATGAGGCGTGCTCCTGACCAGCAGAATCTGCTTCAAACTGCTGTTATCAATCTTAAATGAGAATATAAACAAAGATTTATCAGTGGTAGAATATTTATTTTTGCTCTTACTTTTTTGTCCTTGATGGTATTATTTGTGTGTGTTGTAAAATAATGCCCTCTTTTTTAAATCTGCAGCCAAACTAATGAGGAGGAGATCAAAATGTCAAAAAGCTAAAAGTAACTAAGAGTTGAACTGATTCATTTTTTGTTAAAATTTAATGTTATAGGTAAATATTTTGGAAACTTTGTTACGTATGATCGTTTATCTCTTTGGAGTTAATTACACTACAAATTATCACACAAGAATTGTATACATACATGTGAGTCTTAAAATAAGTTGTTTATTCTAAAAGCTAAGTACTTTTGTTTAAAAAGGAGGCCATACAACAAAAAGAGATGTCAGTCTTTCAGTTTTTTCTTTATACAGGTGAAAAATGGTGTAGTTGAAGTGACAATGGTGTTCTCCTTTTTTGGCATGTTGCTTCAGGAATCATGTAATTCTTCATTTTCATCAAAATTTTTATGACCTAAGTCTCATGGTTGTATAAATTTCAAAATCCTCAACTTTATCCAATTCATTAAGCTTAAAGTACCAAATTTATATCAAAGCCTAAAGTTGTCATCTCATCATATGCCCTGCTGTTGTCATAAATCCTTGTATGAAAGAGATCCCGTAAGGATCCAAGAGAAAAAGATGCATTCCTTTTTTGTAATCGAATTTGTAACTAAAATGTCTACAATTTCCCCTTTGGCATTTAGCATTTCAATGATGCAGCCTTTCTCTGCCTAGTTCTGTTCAATGGACATAGGCATTTCAGTAAATTTTGTTTTCACAGAGACAAGTGGCCTTGCACTTTTCCTTGAGCAAGTCATGTTCACAACCAGCTGTTGTCTTCAAGGAATTACAGTTACTAAGGAGATCTTCATACTCACAATTATTGGCTGTTAATAAAAACACAATAGTTATGTCATTATCATTTTCTTAGTACAAAACAATCTATACATTCAAAGTGTATGAGGGGCTAGGACTGGACAAATAAGTCAGTATCATTTACACTGACATTTGCTTCTTGAGGGGAATACAAGATGTCTTAGTTGAGTTCACTGATAAATCCATCCTTTTTTGGTGATATGTTTTTAAATAAATTGACCTACTTTTCTCCTTTAGCAAAGACTAAATCACTATAAATAAATCCAAACATGCAGATTCTAAAATAGGAATCACTAGTCACATGTAGTCATTTAAATTATTCTAACTTAGATAATCTCAAAATTTCCTTACTCTTACTAGTAAGAGTACTTACTAGTAAGAATTCCCTTACTCTTACTAGTCATACTTCAAATGGTCAAAGGTCACATGTGGCTAATGGCTAGTTACAAGACACCTGCTGATAGAGAACATGTCCATCATGGACAGCAATAAATTAGTCTACAATGCTTTCTTTTTGGAGAAAATGTTATCTGTGGGCAGATAATGATGTAAACAAAGATAACATGTCTCTTCTCCTTTTGATATTTCTTCTTGTATGCTCTCCATGGGCCCCAAACTCAACAGATAAATCTAAACTCATCAGATTACCCACAAGCCTGACAATGAGTAATTATTCCATCCCTCCCAAATCTTAGTAAAAGAGTGCTCTGACTACTCAATATTTTAGGTCAGGTAGTGAATCATTCTTAACAGCTTTTCTACTTCTGACCAGCACAGGTAACAAATCCTGCCTATTCTATTGTCTTTTTACCCTGTCCATTTCTCTTCATTCATTTTGCTATAATATATTAAAAACATCCATTTTTTTAAAATCCACATTTTCAACAGTTTTCTAGTAGATTTTCATGCAACCGGTCCCTCAGGTTATTACTAGAGACTTTTCTATAAAATATGATTCTGACCTTATCACTCTTTGGTTTAAAATTTTTCAATTAACACTTTATTACCAATAAATTCCAAACTCTCTTGCAAACAGCATTCAGTAGAAGTATACTCATTCAATTTTTTTTCTTCCTTGATTTATATCCTTTTATATCATCAATATTCTGAACTATACAACTCAGTAGAAAGAATGCTAATTTATGGTGAATGCATTGAAAAGGTAAAACTCTCAATGAATGGGTCAACACTTATTACTCAATAATTTTAATAAAAGTATCATAACTATAAAAAGGCAACAAGTATTTTTACTTCTATTCCACACATCTTTAGGAATTATGTTCATGACATTTTATTTTCTCTTTTTTCAATATATAGGTTCTCTGAGTTAATATTGCATAAAGATTGGATTTTGTCCTTGAAACTGTACACAAAACAATCAAATTATAGTGCAAGTGATTATGAAGTTAAATATGATTTCAATTATACTATTGAAAAAAGTTAGACAATCAACATGATGAGCTCTCTAGATATGTTTGCCTAACTAGATTAAGCAATAATGTAGTCTCACATCCTTAGATTTATACATTTTGTTTCTTTCAAAGAACCAGTTTTGTTATAAATCTAGCCTTGGTGAAATGAGCTGTTTATCAGAAACATGTATATTTGATATTAACAGGTTCTGCATAGTCACAAAAACACTGATAGTAGGGGTTCCATTATGCTATATAGGATCCCATTCTTTCCATGACAAAGAAAGTGTAGGTTACTGGAGAATGTGAAATGTTTACTGATACATTTTTACTTACCCTCTTTGGTGTGTGAGATTACTGTCTTTCTGTCTTTTGCATAAAGACATTAGGTAAATTGGTTATTTCAGGCTATTTCTAATTTCATAAAAAGAAAAGAAATAAACTATTCTAAAAGGAAGAAAATCACTAACTTACTGCATAGTCCATCGTCACAGTTATCAGGGCAACTGGAACAAGGTGCTCCTTCTTGGTAAGGTGTATTCTTTTTGCTCAGAATATTACCACTGGAATTTAAAATATACAATGTTAAATATTTTTTACCTTATTGTTTAAAATATATACTAAGAGCAAGTTAGTCACCAAATATAGTTATAAAATTAGTTAACAAAATTGAAAAATTATAGTTCTTAATGAGTGATTCAGATAATATCCAAATTAAAAACTTCACACATTGACCAGTCTCCTTGACTATAATTCTGCAAGCTGAGAAATCAACACTTGAAATCAGACCATAGATTAGAGGCATCCAGGAGGGGAGGGCAAGAGAAAGGGAGAAGAGGAAGCGTGAAAATGAGGTGTGGTGGGCGGGGGAGCACAAAAGACTACGGTGACCACACCAAAGGGGAGAAATCCTATACTGCCAAAAAATGAACAAGGATGTAAAATAATGGTACTTCATTACATACAATACATAAATACATAAAAATATATAAAAATCAATAAATCAATAAATAAACCACATAAATAAATAAATGTTAGGACAGTTCCAGTCTCTTAATTTTCCAATGGACTAGGTCAAATTGGTGAATTGGTAAATGTGCTGACTAAGGGTATGTTTTACAGATTCCCCTAGAGAGACAGGAGAGATGTAGGTGAAGTTTGCAGTATGGAAAATAACACTGAATGTTACAATGTTGACTCATATTTGAAAGATGCTAGAAAACCATAAATGTTCTTATATGAACTAGAGAAAGCAAAGCCCCAATGTTTATATTTTTTGACATTGAGATGGTGGTAGTGATATTTTTGTAATTAATGTTGTTTTGTTTGTGGTAAGAGAGCTGGAAAATATAAGTTTCTAGAGGTGGTATGTGAGAGATTTTCAAATTTATCCAAAAAGGATTGCTATTGGAAAAAAGATGATAAATAACAATATTCAGGATATAGTCACCTCACAGTGTCTAACTTGTAACTCATGGAAGATCATTATCCTATTAGTCACTAAATTTATTTGAAAATACATGGGAGTGCAAATTTTAATTGTGTCACGAGGCCTGAGACAATGCATTTGAATCTCAATCTTGCACATAGGATATAAGTGTTTGTGTGTGAATTCTTGGAAAAATTGTGAAATACTTTCAGAAGTGTTCTATATTCCTACTTTCCCTGCTTATATATTTACTTTTATTCTTACTTTAGATGCTTGGTTCCAGATGACTCACCTTTCATAGCTAGGCAAGATAAATTGTGGATGTCTAGGATCCCTTAATTCTTTCTACTAGACCCTAATAGTTGCTTTTGGGGAAATAACTTTGGAGGTAAACCTTTTCAAACTGGAGATTCATTTACTTGGATATCTCAAAATAAATCCTGCAGGAAGGTTGGTTATAGATGACCCCTGCCTCCAATGGCAAGGAATTAAACATTAAAAGCAATTAGGACTAACATGTATTACTATTAGCTCTTTAACCTTACCATATGATTTATTGTGGATAACTTCAAACACATTTCTTGATGAAATAGCACATTTCATGCTATAAATAAAGGTCATAAGGGATGCTTCATTATGTATTTTTGGTGTGAAAAATTCTAACAAACAAAGGTTTGTTACCTGTTTCTGTACTCTGAAGTATATTAAAAAATGTTTAAAAAACTTTGAGACTCAAAAGTGAACCATTTCTAATGGTAATGAGATCAGTGGTTTTTCATATAAGCAGGAACAGGAATATCTTAACAGGAAGAGCCGAAATCAAAATATGCTATATCCCATTTGCCACTCCACTACCACTTCCTTGTTAAAAAGTTAGCAGCTGCCTGCAATATTAAATTAATGAGAAGTGATGATACCAATTCTAGAGAAACTCACATGGAATATCCTAGAGCTCTAGGTGCTGAGAAAAAAACCATTTGTTTATAAATGGTGAGGGGGATTTCAGATTTCGTATCTGGAACTGAGAACTTCTGCTCTTCTCTGAAGACATCTCATCTTAAATAAGCTTTTTATTCTGGTTTGCTTAATAAATGAGAATCCTAAAATATTAAATTGCAGATGGACTTATTGGCATTAAATTGTCAAGTGAACACTTACGCTGGACAATACTGGCAAACATAGAAGTATTTTAGATCCGCTTGATTGGGACAATAGGCAACTCCACATCCAACACGGTAAGATGAGTACCAAACAAGCTACAAGGGAATGTATGAGAGCACATAAAAGAGCAGGGAAAATAATTTTAAATGTAGCAAATGGAAAAGTGAAAAAACACTACCATTATATTTTCAGTCATATATCTTACAGAAATGTTCAGTTAATTCATTGAAATTCACAAACTTTTAAAATACTACCATTTCATGTACATCTACTACTTTATCCACTTTATAAAGTTAGAGAAGTACAGAGTGTACTTCCCTATCAAGAGTTCTGTAAGTCTTAGGAATAAATGACAGCTTTAGATTAAGTACAGAGGCCTAAGGCAATGCACTCGAGTCTTGGGCAAATGCCAGAACTATATTATACCTAATCAGGCTATTTCTCAAAATTAAACATTGGAGCTGATCATAATTTGGAGAAGCTTTTTATAGTTAGAGCATCAGTGGCAGAAGTATTTTTCTTTGTTTCCTTTGTTTCCTTACCTGAGTATAATGTCCAACAACTGCATCGGAACTCTTTGGTCCTTTACCATATATGAAATTGTTACTCTCATCATACCAGCTTTGGATTGCATCTGACCAGGGAGCAGGGTCACTTGACATATAGAGATTCTCACCACATTTTGTATCTAGGAAGGAACAGATTATTCATGACAAAAGTAATAAAGCTTGCAAAACAAAAGAAATCAATTATATGAACACAAAGATGTTGCTGTTTCCATGCCTGCCCATGCTTGATTAAAATGTAAAAATTATTAAAAAGATGCTTCTATTCCTCATCAGCTATAGAATGGAATAGAAGACAGATCTGCTTAGCACATCGAGAGTAGACACAACAGGCAAAATTTTGAGTAGGTTGAGAACTTATTCATTAAAAATTATCCTTCTATTCATTTGTCTAAGATGCATACTATTTCTTACTAAAGTCTTCCTGACTATAATGCCTCATTGCTCTTGGTTTTATATGGTAAGTTTGCAAAAGACAGTGAGCAACTTTTCTCTCTCTCCTCCTCTTTCCCATCCTTCCAGAGATACATATAGCCCTATGACTAAATGCATGTAATTTTGATTTTGCGAGAACTTTGGTTAAAAAAGTTTTATAGGCAGTCTTTAAGGAACTCCTATCAAGAGGCAACTCTGACTTCAAGAAGGATGGAAGTTTTTAAAACTTTTGGGTCTTTTCAGAGTTGATATAAACATGGTACAATAAATATCACAAGAATATAAAATATCAAATAATAAATATCACAAGAATATCACAATAAATATTAAAAGAATATCACAAGGCCTAATCCTCTTTAGAGAATTAGGCAAGAATGTTCTTGCAGAAGGTGACACCATTAAGATATTAAGTAGGAAGTCCTGGACTTCCCTTTCCCCAACATATATACTGATTCATCAACAAATCATGAACAAATTATTCTTATGTGAGAAACCAAATACATAATTGAATTAATTGTACCCCAAATAAATATGAAACCATATTCTCTGAAGCTTGCGTGAAATTGGGAGACCCTCCTATCAGAATCCCTACCCTTGGCATAGAGCCATATGATCAGGACAAAAGCTGCTGGCTCCCACGGGATATGGGTCATGTGCCCAGCAACTCAACTTTTCTAAGGGGACTCTCCAGAGGATTGATTTCTGTCTTGTTAGTCTTGGAACTTATGTTCAGGTGCAGGGTGAGAATCGAGATGGTGGCTTAGGCTAGTAGATGCCATAACTCCTACTCCTGGCTCAACACAGGAAGTAAGTGGAAGATACTGGCTTTCATCAGAGAGTTGATCATTGTGTCCAAAGCTCTAATATCTTCAGAGCTACTCAAAGAACTAGCATCTCTTGCCAGTCTGGGAGCTTTGTTAGTTTTGGCATAGTCTAGTTAGCTTGGAGAGAAGTTAGCTTGGCTTGGAGAGGAGAGAGATAGCAGTTTATACTGGCAAATACCATAGCTCCTTTCCTAAGCTCAACATAGTACAAATAAAGAGAAAAATTCCTGTTTTAAGATTTCTCCCAGGGAGGTGAGTATAATGTCCCACATCACCAGGAATGTCCCAAGAACTGGAATTTTTCTTGCCTATTTTGGAGGTTGGCTGGGTGTGGTGGAGTCTAGGCTTATAGAGGACAATAGAGATGGTAGTCTGGATTGGTAGATACCATTAACTCCTCTATCTGGTATATAATTAATATAAAACACCTGACTATAATCAAAAATTAAAAAGTAGAGATTGAAGGCAGAGCCAAGATAGCATCAGAGAAGGTTCCCCTGGAGGATGATACAGGTAACCAGTAGAGTACTGCACCCAGAGAGTCCCATGGCTTGGGGTAAAACCTCTTGGACATCAGGGAGTAAGCAGAAGGGGCATGGAGATTGATGCTTCAGTGAATAACTGGTGGGTGAAGAGAGAGGCTTGAAGGTTGTGGTTGGGAGCAGGAGACTTCCATACAAACTCCATGGAATTGCCACTTGGCCAATCACTCTGGGGAGGGGAGAGGTGGACAGTGGACGCACACAGTCTTGAATGAGAGGGGAAATATGTGCAGAGGATCTTGGATGCTCCCAGAAAGCCAGATTCCCAGTGAAAGGAACAAGGATACGATGCTGGACTTTGCTCCCTCCCCCACCCTTTGGGACATGTATTGATCTTGTAGGACTCAAGTCTGGAACTCTACAGAGGAGTGCTATCAGCAGTGTTAGAAACACGAGCCACTCCCAAGCCCCCCATTCCCAAGCATCAAACACATACTGGAAAGGTAGACATTCATATCTCTATGATCTAAAAGATGGGCAGACAAAATACACAGTAGCATGAAACCTCAAGGGAATACAACACTCAAGAAAAGAACTATACTTCAGTATCCAGCCGCAAAGATATGGAAGATTTTATCTTCTTGATAATTGGAGAATTCAAAATTGCCATGATAAAGTAGTTCAAACAGAAGAAAATGCAGATAAATAAGTCAGTGATACAAGAGAACACTGAAAAGCTAATAAAAGCAATACCACAAAATTCAGAAAAGCAAACATATTATACGATGATTAGCAAACAGAAAAATATAAATTGAAGATTTAAACAAGAAAATGAGGGAATTGTAGGATACAAAAACATCAACAGAGAAGATAAGACATTCTGAGTGTGATTGTAGAGTTAAGACAATCAGAGGTGTAAGGAGAAACAGAGCAGGGAGGAGGCGGTCCCAAGGGACCATGGCAGAGGACTGTTGTTGCGTTGGTATTGGGTGTGCTATGGTAATAAATATCTGAAGAGGTGAATCCTATGCCTGTGAACCATATACGGTATTATAAATGTAATCTCCATTTTAAAAAAAGAAATATTCCTCCTTAAAATAGATTAAATATTTTTGTAACAAAATTCAGGAACAAGTCAACATACTCAGTACATGTAATAAATACAAAATATTTCAAAACACCAAACAGCTATACAATAACACAAAAAGACAGTGAGTTAGAAATTGGACTGTTTGGTTAATTTTATAAATATACACTATTCCTTCAGATTGTGTTGTTGGGTAAGTCATTTCTCCCATGTCCTAGTTTTCAGATCTTTAAAAGTGGAAAAATGATACATTACCTTTTTACTCATAAGGGAGCTGAGAACAATTAAAACCCTACTTGAGAAAACACTTGCATGTAAATAAGAAACAAGCATGGAATTGACACCAGATTACCTCTATATACAGATACCTTGGTTTCATAAAGAAAGCAGTATAGATAATATTTATTCATAAGTCTTCTTAATACAGCATACTAGAATTGTGCTTTATATTTTATTCATTCAATATTATTTTGCCAGCAAATATTTATTAATTTACATACTGGTTTTTCGTTCCTCTGGATTACTGTGCTGTAGAGTGCACTTGTTTGCCCACTTTTGAGCATTTTTTGCTGCTTCTTTGTTCCATTCCTAAAAGTCACAAGGAAAAAAACCCACATATGAAGATTCAACTTCCATGAAGCACATGCTTTATAATCTGATTGATAGATTGATTTTAACTATTTTAAAATTTCTCCAAATGAATTTAAATGTCATTGGCATTAAAATATCTTTTTTTTTAGTGTGTATTTATTTGCCCTAGTACCAGTTTTCCCATGAAGAGAAGTCAATAGATTATCTAACAAAAGAAATACCTAATACAATATTTACTTAGGATGTCAGAGCAGGTACACCTAGGATATTTAACAATAGTGCTACTCTAAATTCTGATCCACTTGTAAAATATCCTAGTATTTACAGTAATAAGCTGGCTTACATAATTGACATTTCTATTTGCAGTCCCTGGGGCCCATACGGAAGATACCTAACTTTCTGAATTAACTTGTATGAACTGTTTTTTTTCTTAAAGATTTATTTTATGTATACAAGAACTGGGGTGTAGGCCAGAGGTGGAGGTGGGGGTGAGAGGATTCACCAGAGACAGAGTGGGGAAGAGAACAGGCAGATTGACTGAAATACACTGCTGAGGGCAGCAGTGGGTGAGTCAGGAGAGGTCTGCTGCGCCATGTGGGTCACCTCCCTGGCCGGGGATTGAACTCGTGCTGCAGTGGCTGTGGGTGGCTTCATAGTGCTGCGTCTTAACCCCTTGTGCCTCCAGGGAGGTCCTGAACTCTGGAAAGTATGCTATTGTTTGCCTGAAATGGCACTGATCCATAGGTTAAGGGGTGTTTCTTTTAGACTAAGAGTGAACTAAATGAAATAGGTTCATATTTAACTTCTGAAAATTTGATTTCTAATTCTGCCTTCTCATCTTAACAGGCCTGGAAGCCCAGCAAGTCATTAAACCATTATAAAGAAAAGAATTTCTGCCTCTCATGGTACAGCTTAAATGAAATAGTAAAATAAGGAAAGAAGTTTGTAAGCCACAAAGTTCCTAAGAGAAGCAAGTACCAGCTGCCTCTCTTAACACCGCTTGTTTACACCACTTGCCTCATATTATTGCCTCTTACCATCTTTAGCATGTTGCTGGCAGGTGGAGCTACTGATTTCCTTAGTTCATTGTGTTTATTTACAATTTCTTTTTGGATTTTCTTTTGAGAGGTTAATATATTAGTCAAATCCGGATCCTAAAGAGAAATAAAATTAGTTTTTTTTAAACATTTCTGAAAATTGGCATACGAGTAAGTTAATCAAATGAAACAAAGACTACTTCTAAAAACATTCAGTTCAAGCTAATATTAGTTGTTGGGCACTGACAATCTAAGCCAAAGCTCTGATAAATAGGAAAGAAGTGGTTGGAAGTTTTGAGATTGGGATGTAATTACTGGCATAACATATAAAAATATTTCTGATCACAAATGTCAATATTTGGTTTCAAGGGGACACAAAATGCAATTTTTCTAGACAAGAAGAATGATTTTATTCTATAACTACAAAGGTACAGAAGAGGAACAGCAGGACATATTCATTCATATTTAGTCATGCTGCAACAGGAGGAATAACGATGCTGCTGATTCCTCCTAGACTTGAAGGGGAACATTTACCTGATATGGTGTCTGTATTTAGAGAAACTTTAGTCCTAGTTAAGTGCATTCTTAGTGGACAATTTTACTTATTATGGGTAGATTTTTTACAGAGTTTCTAAGAAGATATAAAATTATTTTCCAAAATTAAAAGAATCTCTGGCAGTTTAGGGAGCAAAATCATCAAATTACTGTACTATTACTGACTTTGTTTCATTTAGTAACAGAAATGTAACTGATAAGGCTAATATTTTTGGATGATCTTTGTGTGTGTGTGTGTGTGTGTGCGCGCGCACATTATGCATGGGGATGGTCAAAACAGGTGGATTGGGTGTGTAAATTATTTGCAAAAATTTAAACAATTTGATGACCTAAATTTGCACAAGAGTATGACATTATATGACCAAGATTTTGGAGTAGAAATATAACAAGTATGGTCCTTTGTTGATTTTCCTGACACCTTGGGACGTTATTGTATCCTCCCCACAATATTGAGTTCCCTTGAAACTCTCCAAATCCTGACCACATTTTATCTCCACTCTATATTTATGCTTCTATTTCTCCCCAACTCGTATATTCCTAAGGAGAGGGACCAACAGTGAGTGAATGCCATTGTACTGCAGACTCCACACAGCTCCTGAGTCCTAGATCAGAAAGGATCTACATGTCAAATAGTAATAGCATTATATCAGAGCATAGAACAGCATCTCTGGGTATTTCCTATTGTCCCTCAAAAACTTGTTTAAAATTATTTCATTTCAAAGCATGTCAAAATTTTGTCCTTTATAAAGAAGTAAATACATTCTGACCAAAATATCATTGCATTATCTATTCAATATAAAAGTGTTTTTTTCTTTATGTGTGCACTAAACCTTTGAAATATTTTGTGTATTTTGTATCTACAGTATATTTTGCTTTGCACACTCCAAATCAAGTGTTAACTAATAACATCTGACTAGTGGCTATTGTATTGGACAGTACAGCATTAGACTTTCATTTAGATAATTGTGATATTCTCAAAGCAATTCGTACTTTATGGTGTACTAGACACTCTTCCTCTTTCCACTCTCAAAATGCCTTGCTATTATCCCATAAAGTTGCCTGTATGGTAACAAAACTTTGCAATTTAATCTTACCCCTCCTTCTGCAGGTAAAGGTGGAAGCAGCATAGCAATGAGAATCACCAGCACTGGAAGTAAAGCCATTTCTGGGAAGTGAATCAAAGAGAACAAAGATGTTCATGGAAACATATAGTATGTGAACCTCTAACCAAGAGGGAGAAACCGATGTTTCTCAAAGGAATTGTGATTCCCTAGTTGTAACATGAGAAGATTGTCATTATAGTGCCAATAGAATCATAGTGGCATCAACCTTGTTTTTGATAGGAACAATAAAAAGATAAGCTGAAGTACCTAAGTGAAATCTGGGGAGCCAGGGAACATACAACCTTCTTTCTGTCTAGTTCTATTGCTCCTAAGCCCATCAAAATGCAAATGTGTAAAAAACAGATTTCTTCATAGTTCAACAGTGTTACTGGCGTTGATTTTTCATCTCAGTTTTTTAAAGTTCATTTTTAATGTGCTATCTATTGGTTTGCTATTCTTTATGAAAAGTATTTCATTATCATTTATGAAAATTAGAGCTATATCATTTTATTTACACTTGACTCTAATCAAATATCCAGAGTTGTGATAACACAGAAATAAATGTACAAACACTTAATTAGTGACTATTTCTCCAATTGAATTAGAAATTAGTCTTACTTTATTCCTCATTCTTGTCTATATTTGAAAGTTTTCTGGTGTAGAAAAAACAAACATGGCTAATGAGTATCTAAACTGTTCAAAATTGAATTTACAATTTGGTACAAAGTTTGTTTAACATCTTCTTTACTGTATAAGAAGACGCTCAAACATTGTGTTGCCCATGTTGTCCTTTGTTATTGTGTCAAAAGAAAATCCTTTATCCTTTTTTTTTTTTAAAGATTTATTTATTTATACAAGAACCGGGGTGCAGGCCAGATGCGTGGGAGGGTGAGAGAATTCACCAGAGACAGAGTGGGGAACAGAGCAGGCAGACTGACAAAATACACTGCTGGGGGAAGCAGAGGGCCCGGCCGGGATCGAACCAGCGCTGCAGGGGCTGCCGACAGCTTCACAGCGCAGTGCTCAACCGCCTGCACCACCAGGGGAGGCCCCCCTTATCCTTTAGATGAAGAAATAAAGACCATATTTAGGAAGGACTCATTTACCCACCACTACTCATATAAATTGTTCACTATGAAAATTAAAGGAATACTATATTTCCTGTGTGTGAGATTGATGCTCCCAAATTTTTAGAGGGAAGGAATTGCTACATAATTTATTTGTGGTACTTCTTAGACCTCCCTGATGTGTAAATAGTGGACAATTGATACCTGTTCCATGCATTCCCTGTGTGCCCTCAATAGTGTGCTCATAAAAGGAATAGAATGAATATTTATTACCATGCATAGTAAATTATGATGTCCGATTTCACTCACTATCTTGTGGGTATGAAAATATTTTACAGATGAAGAAATTGAAACCTAAAATGATAATTAACCTGTGACATTGGTAAGTTACTGTCAGTAATTAGCTTTGATACAAATTTGATTTCAAAGTTAATGATGCATATTGAAAAGAGTATTTTTAAACTGGAAATGTTTTTAACTTGAAAGAAAGAATTCTAGCCTGTTTTGAACAGGATAGATATTCATTAGCCATCATTGTTTTTTTCTGTACTAGAAAATTTTCAACTATAGACAAGAATAAGGAATAAAATTAACTTGATATCATTCTCAATAAAATTTTATCTATAAAGTTTTGAATCACAAATTAAAATTATTTGGGCCTCCCTGTTGGTGCAGGTGGTGCAGCACAGTGCTGCAAAGCTGTCCGCAGCCTCTGCAACGCCGGTTCGATCCCCAAGGAACCCACATGGCCAGCAGACCTCTCCTGTCTCGCCCGCTGCTCCCCTCAGCAGTGTATTTCGTCAGTCTGCCTGTTCTGTTTCCCACTCTGTCTCTGGTGAAGCCTCTCACCCTCCCACGCATCTGGCCTGTACCCCAGCTCTTGTATAAATAATAATAAAAAAATTAAAATTATTTTATTACTAGCAAAATAAAAATTATTGACAAAATGTTCACACTAAAATGAACATTATTACTTACTATTGGTTCTCAAAGCAGGATGAGGTATCTGCTTTATCTGTAGGAAGAAATATGGAGAGAAAAATTTGCAAAGTATATATTAGACAATTTATAATAGACCACAATGTCACATTCCTTACTCACTCCTCTTCTATCCTTATCTATCCAACTAACAATCATCTTTGTTACATGTTATATGTGAGCATTTTGGCAAATACCGATTTTTATTACATGTTAATAAAAATGTTTTGAATAAAAAAAAGTTTCTCACGGTAAAACATTTTTTAAAAAGCAATGACATTTTGGTGATAGTATATTTTATGAAAAACTGATCATATTTTATTCTTTTCAACAAACATTTAAACAAATTCAGTTGAACGTTTGGTGCCATTTTTCTTTTCTGTGCTACTTACTAATGGAAAAGTGCTGCGCTTTCTTGCAGGTTGTCTTAAAACCAGGATGACATGGTTCTTTCCTAGGGTGACTATGGGAGCAGCATGATATAGGGTTTCATAGTCCTAGAAGAGGGGAAAAAGAGAATATTTAAAATAAAAACATGAATAGACAGGTAGTATCAATAATCTGCATCACAACCTTAAAACTTGATTCACTGTTTAGTATTGTTCTCCAACACTTTACTGTTTGATCTCACCATAAAGACCATAAACTTTTTTTTTTTAATTATTTTTTTTTAAAGAGGCATGTATTTATTTGTTTTGTTTATACATGCACTGGGTACAGCCAGAAGCGCGGGAGGGTGAGAGAATTCACCAGAGCCAGAGCGGGGAGCAGAGCAGGCAGAAGGAACGAAGTACACTGCTGAGGGGAGCAGTGGGCGGCAGGAGAGGTCTGCGCGCCATGTGGGACCCTCCGGTGGCCGGGGAGCAGCCGGGGATCGAACCAGCGCAGCAGAGGCCGTGGGCAGCTTTGCAACCCAGCGCTCAACCGCTGCGCCACCGGGGAGGACCAAGACCATAAACTTTTGAGATCAGTCTGTTTTCTGTAACAGGGGACTAAAGCCAAAGAATGTTACAGGTGGTACCCCCTGGGGGGGGTGCTGATGAGGATTGATAGCCCCAGCCATGGGAAAATACAAAGTATCAGTGTGGGTGGAGACTCAGATAAGAAATGTAAGGGAGGGGAGAAGCAGCCCCCAGGATTCAGCATTCAAGATATCAGCATTTTCCAATCTTCGGCCATTTCTGCTCCCACCAAGGTCATGTAAAAGCTGTTGCAGGCCTCTGAAGGACACGGAGAAGCTTCCAGCCGCCAACCTCAGAGGAAGAGTTCGGAGGCTTTGCAGGTAAGCGAGTAACTGAAATGGTTCCCAGTTTAGCTGCTGTTACAGCCTGGTAGGGATGGCGAAGACCCAGAGCTGAGCGCCTCGCTGAACCCGGTGAGTGTGACTGTTGTTTATTGGGTCGTCCGGCTGCTGCAGTTGCTGTTTTGAGCGTTGCTTGTCTGGTGCTGTGCTGGTGCATTTCGGCAGCTCTGGTGAGGATCTCCTATTGTCTTCTGGTATCTTTGTGAGTTGAAATCGGCCTATAGTCTAGGTGCTGGTGCTCCAGGTCCGTGGAAAGAGGCCATTTTGAGAGTGTGGCCTTTAGTTCAGGGGAGGAGTTCTGTGTCCTCAGGGGTAGGAAGACACTATCTTGGGAGCGTTTGTGTTTAGACTTGAAAACACTGGACACTGCTTCCAGTGAGGTAAACGGCCATTTTTGGCCTCAGGAACTCTTTGTTTTCCCTGGTTTGTTAAGTAAATTCAATTATATTTATTCTCTGAACCTGAATAGTCTTGAAATTGTGCGCGTGCTTGAGGAACTCAGTGGCCAGTAAAATATTTGGGCAGTAGCCTTGACTGGTCTTAGTGCCCCTTGCTGCCCTGTATCATTTCCATGATCTGGCATTTCCTTCAAAAACTAACAAAGAAGCAAGCTTCTTAAAGACGGTTAATAACTATTAGTTGGCTAACTCTTGGGATATTGCAGCACATGTTACATTTCTAAGACTTTACTCTCCTTATCTAGGTCTCCACAAATTTTACGCTTTTTAGAACAGGTAATTTTTTTTTAAGGAGACAAATTATTTTCACTTAAGCATTTGATCATGGCTAATTTTGTTGACATTAAATCTAAAGGTATGGTAAATTTAAGTGGAAAGAAACCAAAAAACCAGAAAGTAAATTTGGTAAAAATGGGAATAGTAGTTTTTGTGTAATTTCAAATTAAAAGGTAGAAATCAATTTAGAGAAACATAGACAAACTGCATGTCTGCAATGATTGTGCCATAGATTTGAACTCCAGATCTTGAGATTTGACAGGGTTTCTTGGGGAAAAAAAAAAAAATCACATTACCTTGTACAAATAATCAGACTGTCATGTACCATGTGGACAGTATATAACACATGCTAAATGTGTTCATATGTTATGAAATATAAAATACAGTATAAGCTGTGATTTTAATCTGATGTTTTGCACTTGTATGTTACTACAAGGCAAATTTTTGTTTTTTGTTCCAATTTCCAAGAATCTAGGAATTTTGGAAAACTTTCACATATGTACTGAAACTTAAGTTTGAACTTCTAGGAGAATGTTTACATTTGCTGCCACCAATTCTCTAACTTGGTGGTAATTTTTAGTTGTGTCTAAGAGGCTTTGGAAGAACACTAGGAGAAGGTGGGTGACTGATCTTTGCCCAGCATAATTTTATTTAGGTCTTCATCAGTTAGAAATGCTGATTTCTTTAAATGCATATTTGTACTGTTCTCATTATTTTTAAATTGTTTTCCCCCCTCTGCTTCTGAATTATGTCAAACAAAATGGAATACACACCAAAGTTATTTTCATTTCTTTTTGTAGAGCTGCTCTTGATTAATAGTAAGTTCTATTTTCCTTCCTTCCTTTTTCCTCCTTTCTCCTTCCCTTCCCTTCTTCCTTTTCTTTCCGCTTTTAAGCTTCACTTATTTTTTTTTTTTTTTTTAAGATTTATTTATTTATTTATTTATTTATTTATTTATTTATTTATTTATACAAGCACTGTGTACAGTCAGAAGCGCGGGAGGGTGAGAGAATTCACCAGAGCCAGAGCAGGGAGCAGAGCAGGCAGAAGGACCGAAGCACACTGCTGAGGGGAGCAGCGGGCGGCAGGAGAGGTCTGGGCGCCATGTGGGACCCTCCTCCGGTGGCCGAGGAGCAGCTGGGGATTGAACCGGCGCTGCAGAGGCTGCGGGCAGCTTCGCAACCCAGCGCTCAACCACTGCGCCACCAGGGAGGCCCTAAGCTTCACTTATTAATCATTTGCTTTCTTTTAACACATAATAACATAAGAATAGACAAAAATAATAAAAAAACTAAATTTTTAGTGTTTACTTAAGTTTAGTATTTGCTTTTCCATCTTTGGTTGTTCAACTATATAACATGAACAAAACAGACATCAGGAATGACGAATTTCTGTAATTTTCCCATCTCGCTGATTTAAAAGCTGTCTTCTGTAGGGGGCTGGGGAGACCTTACTTCCTCAGTTGAGTTCAGGTTGCTGGACTGATAGAGAGGATATTCTTCACTTTACTCTGGCCTGTGGCTGGGTTTAGCCAGTCCTCCAGGGTTGGTGATGCTGCTGGTACCTGTGGAAGTGACTGGGCAGCTGCCCTCTTTAGGGCTGCTTGTGGGATGAAGGTCCTGCCCCTGCACCTCTCACACCCCTGCTGGGCTGCAATTTAGCAGAGATGCTGGAGCTGGAGTCTGATGGGTCAGAAAGGGACCTTCTTCCTCTAGGAAGGAGGAGAGTCAGGGTAAGTGACCATAGGTCTGGCATCTGGGGTAAAGGCAGGGTACCCCAGATCGCCATAGGAAGGCCCCAAAGTATTCCAGGGAGGAAAAGCCCAAGGGCGTAAGGCTGCTGCCTAGGATGAGGGGTGCCAGCTATGGAATGGAAAGGAAAGTCTTAGGCAAGGAGAAAGTGGCTCTGCAGGAAAAGAGGGAGAAAGTCAAGCCAGAGATCACAGGGCAGCAGGTTGTGCCTGGACCAGGCTCCAGCATCCGGAAGAGAGCCTCTAACTAAACACCCCCATAACAACTATTGACCACATAGAATTGTGTCTTTTTCTCGAAATCGGTTAAATGGCATGAGTCCAGAAAAGTCAACAGCCATATTTCAGAGAGTTAACACACACTAATAACAAAACATTTGTAAAAGGAATGGAAATTATTAATTTGACCTCACAAAAGGCAAGATTTAGAAATGACTTCAGGCTTCTGCTATGACTCAAAGTGTAAACAGAATTGCCCTTCAAGATAGGCAGAGGTTCCAACAGGATAAACAGAAAGGCACGTTGAAAGTCTTTGGGGGAATCAATGCTAAGTGACCAAACTGAATACTGTCCTTCTGCACGATACCAGCCATGTGCCAGACAGAAGAAGCACAGAGGAGCAGAAGATCCCCCACCTCATCCCACCTCCTTGGCGTCCCAAATGCTTACCCTGGATCCGGAGCCCTGATGTTAATGCTGGGCAGGCTGCGGAGCTGGAGCGCAGCCGCGGTCCACCTTCCCACAGCCGCTGTGAAACCCCCAGCCAACCAGACCTGCGCGTGCCGGCCACGTCACAGAGCTTTATGCCCTCATCAGGCGAGGCTAAGTGAGGTCTTCCTTCACTTGCCCGTTTCCCTCCAACTTGCCCATCTCCTTCTAAAGCTTCACTGAGAAAATATGGCGCATTTTCCTCTGCTCTGTTTTACTCTCATTACCATGGCTTGAATAAGGCAAATAAATGTCTAATGGGTATATACAGCTGAAGAACAATGAGGTGGAGATGATATTAGAATTCAAAATGCTCTGGGGTTGACTGAAAAGGGGCAAATGATCTCGTGACTCAACGCAGGTTAGAATTTAAAGAGCACAATGGAGAAGTCCGTAGCTACTACATAATGCAGCCCCTGCCCTGTGGTACCAGTAGTGCCTGGAGGGATACATGGATGGCCTTGCCATGTTTCACCTTCACGCATAAGCTTTTCATGTTTTTTGCCCCTCTTCTTTCTTTCCACAACAGTTTTGTGGTCAGGAAATTCAAGAAGAGTAACAGGGTCAAGTCTTAGGAATATGCCCAGAAATCCTGACCCAAAGTGGCTGGTTTCAAGTACAGCAGGTATATTAGACTTTGGATGAAGACATGTTGCTTCTCTATACACAGAGCAGATGAGTAAGCTTGGTGTTTTCAAAATTTAAGGAAATGTATGAACTCATTACCTACAGGCTCAATTGGGACAAAAGATGTCAAACCAAGGACTAGCTTCCATCATACTGTAACTCTCCATGCTCTGTGCAGAGGTTGGAAATCTCTCATTACTTTATTTACAGTTATTTATGAATATCTTCATTTATGGGTAGCTCATTCTTTCCATGTTTCATGGTGCTGAGTGCCATTTTCCCTTGCCAGTATTAAATTTTTAAGGGAGAAGTCCTTAGACATTAGTTTAGTTCTTTATTCCTTATTTCAGTATAAGTACCAGTGAATTAAAAAATTTGAAATTTATAACTCATTCTGGACTACTTTATGGTTACTTTCAATCAACGTTAAATTTATGACAGTTTGTCTTTCTGAATATTTATGAAATCTGTGTACAGATTTGTTTCTCATTGCTACACTTGTGTTTTCCCAGTACCGTATATTATTAATTTAACATTTCAAAAATTTAAATTCACTAAATTGTTACCCATCTGTTTATAAGGAGAATTGCTTAGTCATTTGTTCTTTTACTAGTGTAAAACAGTTCATTGATATCCTATAACACCCTATAATTTACTGTGAATATCCTGTGTTTCATTCTTAAAGATTCCATATCTATTATTATCCATATCTACACCATTCTTAGAGACACTTATAATTATTACCTGTTCCCATGGATGACATAAGAATGAGACAACTTGAGTGTTGTAGTGATAGATAATGTCAGTCTGTGAACATCGGCTTTGTCTCTTCTGATTATTGTTTCATCTCCAATGCCTAGCACAATGCTAGTTACATAGGTAGCAGTAAATATTTGTTGAGAAAATTAATATTCACCTGATGTAGAGCCTTAGGGGGAACAGAAAAAAGGGCATATAATCTCTTTCTTCCAAAAATCACAATACTATGGCAAAGATACAAATATATATGAATATTGAAAGGTAGTCTAGTTCAGTACTCACTAGTAGGAACAGAAAATAAATACATCAGTTGGAAGTTCCGGGAGTAGATAATTCTGGACAGATTCTAGATGACAGCATGACATTTGAACGGCTTTGAAAAAATGTACATGATGAACAGAAAAAGAATTTGGTGTATCTGAAAGAGAAGAAACAGACAAATCAGTGTATCACAAGGCATATCTAAGTCAAGAGTGATGAGCTTTGAAAATCTGGGACAAACTTTGTATAGAAGTCTAAGAATATATGCTTCTTTATGTCAGAAAGTAATTTCATTAACATTTAGAGAGTTGGAAAATTATATGATCAAACATTTTATGGAAGTTACCTGATAGCATTGAGTGTGCATGGTGATTTGCAGAGATGTGAAATTGGTGATGGGAAAAATGTGTCATGACAATTCCCCATATTAATTATAAAGCAGCAAAAGGCAAAAGGGAGGAATGTGAATAGATAAGACAAAACAGTGTTGATAATTATTTGGTATGAATGGAGGGCAAATAAAAATAGAAGAAAGTGTGTAGATATTGATTATAAATATGTCGGTAAGCACATGAAAAGTATCTATACACCTTAATTATTGAAAGGAACAGTATAGTCTTAACTACTCATGTAAAATCAGTAGTTGGCTATTTGCTGAGCTGAGAGGCGCAGTGCTGAAGATGCTTGAGAATTAGGACAATTTCTCATTTTCTAATGAGAAATCCGTGTAATTATTATCCTGTTCCTCTACATAAGGCACTCACTCCTCTACCCCTTAACCTTCCTTGCTTATTGGATTTTGTAACATTTTTATAGATTCCTTTGTATTTTCTACAAAAGGATCCTATTAATCTGCAAATAAAGTCAGCTTCTGCCTTTCCAATCTATCTGCCTTTAATATCTATTTTTATTATTTTTAAAAAGATTTATTTATGCATACAAGAGCTAGGTGTAGGTTAGAAGTGGGGTGTGTGTGAGAGGATTCACTAGAGACAGAATGGGGAACAGAGCAGGCAGATTGACTGAAATACACTACTGAGCAGATCAGTGGGTGTGACAGGAGAGGTCCGCTGCACCTTGTGGGTTATCTCCCTGGCCAGGATCGAACTCATGTTGCAGTGGCTGGTGGCAGCTTGACAGCTCTGTGTCTTTAACCTCTGCACCACCAGGGAGGCCCCTACCTTTAATTTAAAAAATATTTATATTGACTATTAACTTAAAATATGAAATGAAGTTGTACAAACAAGCATCCTTTCCTTTCTCCTGATGTGGATTCCAAACTGAAAATGAGCACGATGGTGTTTTCACATGTAAGCTGAGGAGAAAACATTGCCATTCACTATTAAGCATAGGTTAGCTTGAGGACCTTGTAAAATGTTCCTTTTTAGGATAAGGAAGCTATTTTCTAGTCTAGTTTTCTGAAAATTGTTTTTGTTATATTACAGGTGTTGAATATTGTCAAGTGCATTTTTTTGCATCTTTCATAATGAAGATATCTTTATTATATTAATAAGTACATCATATTAATAGGTTCTGGATGTTGAAACAGCCTTTCATTCTTGGAATGATCTCACTTTGTTATATAATCTTTTTATATGTTACATCTATGGTCATGGGGAATAATAGCCTATAGTTTTCTTGTGATGTCTTTGCTGGACTTTGGCATTACAGTAATCCTAACTTGAACTGGGATAGAGTTCTCTTATTTTCTGATATTGTAAAATATGCATGGTAGACATACCACACACATACAAGCATCTATCTGTCTATCTACCTATAAAATATACAGCTATTCTCTAGTGTGATTTAATTTAATCTTTCTTTTAGTCAATAGTCTGTTAGTTGATTTCTTGCTCCTGTTCTTGTCTTTTTACAATATATGTGCCATCATACTACATTCCTGCTCAATTTACTCTAGTGACATTGCTATCTTAGTTATAATATTTCAATTCTTTACCTACCCTAGAGAGTACCATGTAACTAAATTTCTGCCTAAATCTCTGATCCCTTTTGAAAACAACATTCAACTTGCTGATTCTGCTGCAACCATTCTAGGCTTCTTACCTTCCTCAAATATGCCACATTTATTCCTACTTCAACAAGTAATACTCACTATTCTCTTTGAAAGTTTTCTCCATCAAGTTATCAGATTGGTTTTCTCACTTCTGTTGTGTTACTGATAAGTCATTACCTTAGAGAGGATTTACCTGACTATTCTATTTAAATTAACAGTTACTGGGGCCTCCCCTGTGGCAGCGGTTGAGCGCTGGGCTGCGAAGCTGCCCGCAGACGCTGCAGTGCCGGTTCGATCCCCGGCCCCCGAGGAGAACCCCACATGGCGCACAGACCTCTCCTGCCGCGCTCGCAGCTCCCTTTCAGCAGTGTATTTCGGTCCTTCTGCCTGTTCTGCTCCCCGCTCTGGCTCTGGTGAATTCTCTCACCCTCCCGCGCTTCTGACTGTACCCAGTGCTTGTATAAATAAATAAAAAATAAATAAACAAACAAACAAATAAATAAATAAATATTAAAAAAAATTAACAGTTACTTTCTTAGTCTGTTCCGTGTTTTTCCCTATTGACTATTTTAGTTTACAGCACTTATCATTTCTGAATTATAACAAGTATTTATTTGCAAAATAGTGTTCTTTCCTTTCAGAGAATTCCATGACTTGGTCTGTTTTGTTAATCACTCTATTTAAAAGTACCTAATTAAGTACCTGCAACATAATTGTTTTCAATATATATTTGCTGAATGCAGGAATGAAGTATTATACATTGTGATGATTACTGTAAAAAGAAGTATAGGGAGCTATGAAAATGAGGGAAATTCTTTAGGTTATTCACTCAGGTAGAGTTAACAGCATTTGCGAATGCTGAGGTAAATAAAATCTTGATGAACTTGGGAGAATTTAAGAACATTTTATTTGGGGTATAAGAAGTAAGAGAGTTGAAGTAAAATTAGAAAGTATAGAAAGATCAGCTTCTTGCAGATCAGTTTAAGAGAATATTTTCTAAGTACTTGAGAAGCCAATGGGAATGTTTTGAAAGTAAACTAATTAGGAAGTCTATTATTATTTTTTCTTTATTGAGGTTACATTGGTTTATAATATTGTATCTGACTTAGGGGAGAAGTCCAAAATACCTCCACTATCCAAGCACTCATATTTCTTTCCTTTTTTTAAATTATCAATGTTTTTTAAGATTTATTTATTTTTTATTTTTGCATAAAAGAATTGGGGTGTAGGTGCTGGTGGGGTGGGGGTGTGACAGGAGTCACACAGACAGAGCCAAGTACTCATAGTTCTTTACCCTAGGCCACTGGGCCTCCTTACCCCTTTGTCTTTGTTCCCACTCACCCATACCCTCCCAATCTAGTAGCCTCAATTCTGAAGTCATATTTCTAGGGTTTGTCAATTCATTTATTTCTTCTTTTCCCCTCTATATTCCACATGTTAGTGAAATAATCTGGTATAGTACTTTCTCCTTTTGGAAAATCTATTACTTTAGCTATTAAGAAATATTCTACAAAAACATCCTCTAGAAGCTGCATTGGTGATTTTGGACCTCTTCCTGTCCTTTCCCTTTGCCTCAAGACCACTCATACCTTCTCTCTCTTTTTTTAAAAAAGATTTATTTATGCTTACAGGAACTGGGGTACAGGCCAGCTGTGGGGGGAGGGGTGAGAGGATTCAACACAGACAGAGTGGGGAACAGAACAGGCAGATTGACTGACATACACTGCTGAGGGGAGCAGTGGGCGAGTCAGGAGAGGTCTGCTGCACCATGTATGTTAGCTCCCTGGTTGGGGGAGTGAACTCATGTTGCAGCGGCTGCGGATTGCTTCATAGTGCTGAGCTTTAACCCCTTGCACCACCAGAGAGGCTGTACTTCTAATTTTGATATTATTAGTGAACTTTGATACTGGGTAAGTTATGAGTCTGATTTGACAATCCAACTATTGGTGTTATCTGACAAGTAAAGAGACTAAAAATCAAAAGAGACCAAAAATCAAACATTTAACAATGGAATACAGAAGCTCAAACTTGCTTGGGGGGAGATATTATGAACAAAAAGTATGGTTAGTTATGGCGCCAAGAAAAAAAATGAGATTTTCTTATTTTTGTTTTTTTGAATGAACTTTCATTTTGGAGTGATTTTAGACTTACAGAAAGTTTAAGATAGTACAGAGAATTCCCATATACTACTCTTCACCCAGAATAAGTTTCCCTTAATGTTACCATTTCATGGTAATATTAAATCTGGTATGTTTGTCAAGATTAAGAAATCAACATTTAAAACATTTCATCCTATTCAGATTTCACCAGTTTTTCCATTAATTATCTTTTCTGGTGTAGGAGCCTACCCAGGACACCATATTGCATTTAGTTCTCATGTTTCCCTCATCTCTTCTGGTTTGTAACAATTTCACAAAATTTCCTCACAGGTCATAATTTTTGATGGATTTGACTAGTACTGGTTGGATATTTTACAGACTGTCCCTCAATATGTGTTTGTCTCATGTGTTATCTCTTGATGAGATTGGGACTACAAGTTTTTACAAATAATTCCATAAGGTGAAATTCCCTTGCAATCATATAAAAGGGGGTATGACATCATTGGTAATATAACTTTGGTAACTTGGTTTCAATGGCATTTCCCAGACTTTTCCTCTGTAAGGTTACTTTGTTCTCTTTCCATACTTTTTGGAAATGAGTCCTTAAGTTCAGACCAGACTCAAAAGTGAAGCAACTAATTTTTGCTTCTTCCTGGAGGGGGTAGTGTTTGACATATATTATTTTGAATTTTTCTTTTAAGAAAGAGTTGTCCGAGAGAATTTATACAGATGAAGAATCAAAAGTTTTCACCGATTTTGGCAAAATGAAGGTTGGGGCTACCTTAGGAAGAGTGATTTCAATTTAATTATAAAGGTGAAATCCAATGAGTGGAAAAAAGCATGAATGGGAGAGAAGGCGTTAAAGACAGCATATGGGAACAATTCTTTGAAGTGAACCTCTGAAAAGGACTATAGTCCAGAATACAAGGGACAATGATAGCACATTCTGTTCTTTTTGTTTGTTTTGTTCTGAGCACATTATTCTCAATTTCATTTCACAGTTCTTGTGACCTTAGTTGTAAGAGAATACAACTTTCAGAATCCCCAATTTAATTATGCTTATTAAAGTTTAAATCAAATCTATATTAACATCCAAATTTGTTATCACAATTTCTTTTTAACCCTTTTTATTGAAAGATTTCTGTAAAATAAAAAACAGATCCAGGAGAAAAAGATTCATTACCATACAGAATTTTATTTTTAGGTAACATATTTATGATTTCTTAGCTAGTAAATGTTAAATCTAAGTAGATGATTGGCACTGCTCAGCTTGCATTACATATTCAGTAAATGTTGTTTTGGCACTGGCACGTAGCTTTGCAAGAGTATTTGGTTATTTGGTGGTTACAGCCCACCATAGCCACCAAATCATTACAGTTAGAATAGTCATCTTGATATTTGCAACTGTTGGCTGGAATAAAAACAAACAAAAAGTAGTTACTACACAGACAATAAATTCAACTTGAATGGGGGGAGGGAATTGAACACACAAATTGACATCTTTCCATTATGATGGCTGTATCTTGTTTGCAGAAACACATCAGTTTCCTTAGTTTTAAGATCACTTCTTTTTAAATTTGAGGGTTTTTTCTGGAGGTGTTTCCACAATAATTTGACTTACTTTCTTTATTCAGAAATTAGAGTAAAATGAATTTAAATGAATCTCTCTAGACCTGCACTGCTAAAGAATTTTAAGCAACCACATGATGGCCACTGGCCAAGTGTTTATTAAAATTTGAATTTGAGTCAATTAAAATTAAATCAAATTATGTTTGCAGATTTTCAGTGATACTGGTTAATTCCAAGTGCTCAATAGCCAGAATATCTAGGGTTGATTTTGCTGTCAGTCCTTTACAGGACAGGACATAATGAATATTTTTATTATGAGGAAAAGTTACACTGGATAATGTGGCTCTGGACTCTAATGTTACTATTGCTTCAGGAGGAAGAAATTATAAGAAAATGTGGATGTAAAAATTTGAAAGAGGTGTGACTTTCACTATGACTGTTGAATATTTCTGTTTGGCTATCTTTCAATGGACACAAATGCAACAGACCTGAAATTAATTTCATCATTCTACCTCCTCTTGATTCTTCCCAACTCTTGGCTCAGAATCAGAGAAGCCAGGATGTAGGGCTCAAACTTAACTTGTTCACCTTTACTTTTCATTAGCACTTAAAAACCACAGGTAACAAATACTAGCTATTTTTTTTTCTTCTTATTATAACTGTACATCTCTTTTTAATCATTTTGTTCTAATGCAGAAAATATCTCCACTTGGTTTTGAACCTATGTTTTTCAACATTCTCCAAGATGGCTTCACTCAGCATTTAGTTGGTTCTTTATACTACTATCAGGAGCTCTTTATGAAACAAAATTCTGATATCTTCACTCTTCTGTTTGAAATCTTTTGATTGGCTATTCATTACTAATAGGATAAGTGCCAAACTCTTTAATAGTATTTAGCAGAGATGTAAGTATTCAGAATTTTTCTTCTTAGTTGATTTATGACTTTGATACCATCAATATTCTGAATTATGGCTATATTACTCATTCAGAATGAATGCTATAATACAGCCAGGTGAATGCATTTGAAAGGTAAAAGTATTAGCTTTTTAGGTAATAAGTTGGCTTAATAACATATCCCAACTAAACAAAAATACCAAATCTGTTTCTCTATTCATGACAAACACAGAATTGAGATATCACCTAACACCAATTTTACTATTTTTATGCTAAAATAGTTTAGAGGCTTCTGTGAGCTAACATTATTATGCAAACTGATTGACATTTCAAAAGTATGTAGAGGTTACTAGTAAATCGAAGTACAAGTGGTTATTAAATCAAATGATGATTCTAATGACACTATGGGGAAAATGAGGAATTCAGTATGATAATATATAATTTAGTATGATTATGTTAGAAACAACAACATTTATTATCCACAATGAGCCATACTATGTTGTTTTGTACTTTTATACCTGTACATATTTTCTATTTCTAAAGTGTGATTTTTGCTGTAGACATTAAATATGCTAAAGGAAAAATTCATACTTCACTATAATGGATTTTTTCCACAGAAACTTTTTCATATGTACCAATATGTAAGAGGTTCAGCATAGTCAGAAATGTACACTGGAAGTTAATGTTTCTATCCATAACATTATGGTATCAGGTTTTCATTGCAATAATACACTGATACTGAACTGTGTAAAATTGTTTTCTGACACACACTCTACTGAGTGATTTTATTTTTGTCTTTTCAGGAAGGCATTTCTTAAGTTCATTACATTCAGAGGATTTCCTAATCTTAAAAGGAAAGTCAGATCATTTTTTATCTTAGCAGGGTGATGACTAAACTTACTGCACAGTCCATTGTCACAGTCATTAGGGCAGCTGGCACAAGGTTTCCCTTGTTTGTAAGGGGTTTTTATTTTGCTCTTGAGATTTCCACTGAAAATTGAAATATAAAATGTTTAAACATTGTTTTCATAAAATTGCTTTTAATAAATCCAAATGGGTTTAGTTTATGCCAAAACATAACAACTGACAATACCAAATCTAGATAACTACACTAAATACACCATGAGGTAACTGAATCTTGGGAAAGACAATTGTGAGAAAAGATAAATTGTTTTCTGTACCATAAAATAAAGGTTCATAATATTATATGTAGAATTGGGAAGTTCGTCTTTTTTCTGAGAAGCTAGTTGTGTTTCAACTTTATTTCTTTTTTTTTCTAAAGACTTTTTTTAAAAAGATTTATTTATTTATACCTACAAGAACTGGGGTACAGGCTAGAGGTTCAGGGGATGAGAGGATTCACCAGAGACAGAGTGGGGAACAGAACAGGCAGACTGACGGAAAAACACTGCTGAGGGGAGTAAAAGACGAGATAGGAGAGGTCTGCTTTGCCATGTGGGCAGCTCCTTGGCAGCCCTGACATCTAACTCGTGCTTCAGAGGCTGTGGATAGCTTCATAGTGCTGTGCTTCACCCCTTGTGCCACCAGAGAGGCCTTGTGTTTCAACCTTAGAAAGTCTTTCTAAGGGTTTATTATGTACCTTTAATGACATATGGGTTTTTTAAGCTTGGTGTTTCTATTACATGATAATTTAAAAATACTAAATTTTTGATAGCATATCTGACAGCAAACACAAAAGTGTATACTCACCTAGGACAATACTGGCAAACATAGAAGTATTTCAAACTCTTTTGATTGGGACAATAGGCCATTCCACATCCAACAAGGTAAGATGAGAACCAAACAACCTATATACCCATAAGAGAATATATGAGAATATATCAGAACAGAAGGAAATATCAAAAAAAGTAGGAAATACAAGGCACAAGTAAACTTCAAGATTATATTTATATTATTGAATCAAAATAAAGAACCTTTAAAATACTACCTTTCCAGTGCTTTCACTACACTTTCCATTTACACTGTTAGAAAAACAGATTGAGTTCCCCTCGCAAAGAACCCTCAGATTTTTGACAAATGATAGCTCATAGCTCAATCTGCTAAAATACCCCCCAAATTCAAAACTCTTATTTACCCACATTGCGTCGATCTTTCCCCAAATTTAACACCGGAATCAATCAAAATTTGGAAAAGCTTTCTATGTAGGATATTTATAGTGGTTTTTCATTATTCTTACCTGGGTATAATGTCCAACAACTTCATCTGGGGATTTTGGCCCTTGACCATAAATAAAATCATGGTGCTCATCATACCAACTTTGAATTGCTTGTGACCATGGGGCAGGGTAGCTTGCCATAAAGAGATTCTCACCACAGTGGCTTGTAGCTAAAAAAAAAGATTATTCAAGGAAAAGCATACAACAGGTGATGCATCTATCTCTCTATATCAGAGTCCTTCTTCAAACATGGTACTCATGCCCATAGTTGTTAACTTAACAATTTTATGGAATTTACATTGCATTATATGTAAATTTTAGGTATGCATTATTATGAATCAGTGTCTACGTATGCTACATTAAGTTCATCACTAAAAGCCCATAAGGGTGTTCCTTATCAGCTATAATAAGCTGAATAGAAGTCAAATGTTCCTAACAAATGGAGCCTGGAATCAACATGCAAAATTTTGAGTTAAGGCCTCTGGACGCCCCTCTAGAATCATTCATTTACACATTGAATTCTTCACGAATGCATGTCTTAGGTGTGCTCAGTTTTATAAGCTTGCTGAAGTAGAGACCAACTCTTACTCTCACCAACACTCATGGATTGCTCATATATCAGAAACTGAATAAATGTTTAGGATTGTTATTTTGTGTGGACTTTGAAAAAAATATTACACTCAGTCTTTAAAAAGCCCAGGAATGAAGTAAATGACAATATTTTCAAAGTTTATGGGTTTCCTCTTAGTGAGTGAATGAAAACATCACAGGCCAAAGTGTTTTTAAGTAATTAGGAAAGAAGTAGCTTGCAGGCCAGAAATATTTCAGTATATTTTTCAAGACTTGAAATTAATATTTATATATGAGAATGCAATGACTACAATCTATGTAAAGATAAAGTAGACTTCTTCTGGGTAACCCTGTAAAGAGGGAGAGAACTAAGATTTTAACAACAGATTGGAATCTTACAGTCATTTGTCTTTATCTTCTACTGAATACAGTCATCCATATTCATTATTTCATTAAATTATCATACTAAAAATACTAATAACATGGGTAGACTTACCTTTAAAACAGATAAGCTGTTCACTCATTTAAAGTAGATTTGCCTATATCTATGTCATTTTTAAAAATTTAAGTATTTTATCTAATAGTTTATACATATGATATTTTGTCTCATTGTTTTAATGTTCTTTGATGTGGTGATCATGTCTTAGAGGTTATTTTTGAGTATAATATAGTATTGCATGCATTGTAGGCACTCAGAACATATGAATGATTTACTTTCATCAAAAATTACAGACAAAATAGTCAAAGTAATATTAGAACAAAATATTTTTGAGTATAACTTAGGAACTGTTTGACAAAATTCAATATTTTACAAATACGAAAATGAATTATTTTCAAAACAGTCTACATGAAATGAATGTAGAACTGGCTTAGAAGTTAGAAATTCTAGTGTAAAATTTCCCATATGTGACGTCAAGTGCCAATCATTTTGTTTGCATCAGAAGCAACATTTATTTACAGAGCTTCTTAATTTAGTCTCAAAAATGACCCCTTACTAGTTTATTTGCATTTATTAAACACATAGCATTAGTTTACATACAGATTTCTCTATCCATTATCACACTATGTGAAAGCGTGCACTTGTTTGCCCAATTTTGGGCATTCATTGCTGCCTCGCTGCTCCAATCCTAAAGCAAGCAGGAAAAAAAAAAAAAAAGTCACTTAATGATTCAAAGCATAAGCTGCAAAGTATGATTGGTAGCTACTTTTGTATCATTATAAAATTTTTGGACATGCATCTTATGATTAGCAACATAAACAAAGTATTATTTTTTATATGCCCTTTTAGCTTTATAAGAAACATAGTATATCTCCCCTAAGTATTTGAAAAATCTAAAATAATTAATGGTTTATTCATGATAGGAAAGTGGGTGTAAAGGTTTATTTTTTTCGTAATGGTCCCACTCTAAATATTGAAAATCAAACTGAGGTATTGAGATTATTTTTCCTAATGCTGAGCTGGCATACTTCATTCCCAATTCCTTTTCTTTTTTCCATTGAATATTTTAAACATGTTATCTTTAATACTGTGTCCAGAGAAATAGACTGTTCTTAACCTAAATGGTACTTATCCTAAAGGGAAAAGGCCATTTTGATCATAATTAGGAGATGAGCAGAAAAATATAAGGGTCTCTACTAGGATATCCAAAAATTTAGTTTTAATACTGCCTCCACAACTTACATAGTACTATAACCTGGGCAAGTTATTTAACCACTATAAGAAAAAGTTAAGTATTCTGCTCTGTCCTAGTGAAGCTTATAGGTTTTGAACCCTTCACTTGGGTATGTCCTTCCAAGGTCATAGTTGGGAATCAGAATATGTTTGCACATTTTTTCAATAAAATTTCAATAGTAAGTCATTTTTTTGTTGTCTTTTCTTTACAGAAAATTCTTTTAAGCTTTGAGTCAATAAAACTTGGATTTCTTCTAATAACAACATATCTTCTAAGAAAGACTGGGTGCCCAGAGCAAGTAGACACTAATCATTAGGCTAAGATAAGCATGACTGTCCAGAGAAAGACCAGAAAGAAGAAATACACATAAACCCAGGAAATATATGGAATTTTTTTGGGATCAAAATCAACAGAAAGACCCTGAAAAATATCTAAAAATCAATTTATTAAGGTTAGAAGGCACACGCTAACCTCTTGGGCAGGATCTTAACCAGGTTTTATGGGGGAATTTCCAGGGGCTCCTTGGAGTCCCCTGTATTGTATACTAATGGTATTTCTATAATTTTTTTTCTTTTAGGAAGAAAAATTCTTTTTTTTATTTTAAAATATAATTTTTTTTACATTGTTCATTTTGTACAATGTTTGATTTCTCCCCTCAGATTAATCCTCGTAATATTCCCACCACCACATCAACCGTGAACCATCACCATAATCTCTTCTGTTCTGCTGTCAAGTTTTGGTCCCCCTTTATCCCCCCTCCCCTGATGTATGTCTTGGATAGTTTGCCTGCTAGTTTTGTCTTTTTTTTTTTGGATCCCTAGTTTGTTTTCCCTATATTACTCCTCTATTGAAACCATCAATATTTTTCTTTTTAGGAAGAGAAATTCTATCACAAAGATTAGAAATTTAAAAATGGACATGATAGTGAATGAATTCTGATATATACTTTTCTAGAGATTAAACTATAACAATGGTGGGTGAAAACAATATATAAGCAAAAATAGTATGTGGAATAATAATAAATAATAATTATAATGATAATAATAATAAATGTTTGCTCTATTCATAACACAGATCCAATGAAATAACAACATAGAGAAAAAACTTCCTAATCCTCAAAATTCTTAAAGAGATGTTATTTACAACTGACTCAAGTCACTTTCCTTACTTCTCCCCTTACCATCTTCAGCATGTTGCTGGCAGGTGGAGAAACTGTTCTCCTTTTTTCATTGTGTTGGTCTACAATTTCTCTTTGGACATGTGTTTTGGAGGTTGACAAGTCATAAAATTCTGCATCCTAAAGGAAAGTTAAATTACAATTACTTTTAAGTTTTGAAAATTGCATATAAAGAATAAATAAGTTAATCTAAGAAAACAAAGGTTATTTTTAGAAGTGTTCAATTCAAGCCACAGTTAGTTAAGCATTGTCAATGAATCTGAGCCAAAGGTATAACTTTTAAGCAGTAACAAAAGTGTTAAATGTTGACAGTGGGGATTTAATTCATGGGTGACTATTCAGGCACCTTTGAGGCTACTGATAACAATTTGTAGTATTAAGAGACAATGTGATTTTTCTAAATATATGAGTGATAACATATCAACAATGGTACAAAATAGGAATCATTTATAATCTGCAGCAAGATTGGTAAATGTAGAGGCAGGTGATTCATTCTGAACTTGAAGGGGAACTTTGACTTAACATGTAGTATGTATTTAGGGAAATAATGTGTAGGCCCATTCTAGTAAAATGATTTTACCTACCAGCAGTAGATTTTAGAGCCTCTCTCAAAAGACAGTTTTACAACATTAAACAAATCTCCAAGGTCATTGGGAGGGAGCAACGTATCCAATTAATAGACCATTGTTGACCTGACTTTTTTAGTAACAGAAATATGACTAATAAGATACTATTATTAATATTGTTGATATTTTTGGTTTATCTCTGTGTGTGCCTATGTTGGAGGGGAAGGTTAAGAAGGTGGATTCGTGTGTATGAATTGTTCACACAAGGTCTAAGTAATTTGATAACTTAAATTTATACCAAGAGTATGATGTTAGATGAGCAAGATTTTGGAGTAGAAGTCTAAAGAGATGGGGCTCTTTGTTGATTTTTTTTCCCTGGCAATTTGGACTAAGTTATTTTCTCAACCCCACAATACTGAGTTCCCTTAAACTTCTCTCAATACTGTATAGTTAGGTCTGACTACATTTTGTCCCTACTCTCTACTTTTGCTTGTATTTCTCATGTTTGCTTTATGTTCCTAAGAACAGGGACCAAGAGTGAATGCTGTGGTGCCCACAGATTCCACACATCCCGAGCTCCTAAATCCTAAGTTAGAAAGGAGGCACATGTGAAATAATAAGAGCAGCATTACAAAAAATGATAGAGCAACATCTCTATTTTTTTCCTGTTGTCCCTCAAAAACCTGCTTAGTTTCATTTCAAAGCATGTCCAAATTTGGCCCCTAAAGAAGAAGCAATTATATCCTGCTTCTTACCCAGTCTTGCTTTGTAGTTAAATATTCTGCTGAAGAAGACATGCCTATTTTTTCGAAAATGATTTTCAATATAATTTTTGTTAGGTGACAGGAAATATGAAAAATATTGAAAATAAAATGAATCCAATGTGTAATATGTCTATATTCAGTTTATATTACATAGGCAATATGATGTAAATCATTGCAATGTGACACGAGAATTGAAATAAGTATGTTCTACCAGATTTAAAGGAAGGAAGGATCAGTTCTGCTTGATTGAGGTCAAGGAAGTTTTCACCAGTGATAATCTGGACTGGAATTGAAGGATAAATTGTGTTTTCTACTTAGATCTTCCACCTTATTGAGGAGGTATAGAAAGACATTCTTGGGCAGAGGTTATGAAGAGTACCACATTTGTGGTGCAACACAAATGATACCTCCTTTAGGAAAGAAACCGGAAAGACAGCAAGGGACTTGAATGCAAGGTTAGGTGATGAGTAAATGATGAAATCTTGAGTATATTGAAACATTGCTCATATTTCTGAATGCCAAATGAGGTTTGACCCAGAGTCAGAGCTCTCTGTACTGAGGGAGCAATTGTTGTGTCCCCAAGGCTAAAACTGGTGTGGGAACAAAGGGCAGTAACAAGAGTTTCTCACAGTGATTTTCTGATCAGGGGAGATACCTGAAGTGAATACCTGCACACAAATCAATGAAGTGGATGTTTGGTGATGTTCTTGGGATTATTAAAGTGAGACAGAATATTAGAAATAGCTAGAGTATCTTATTTTGCACTTACTAATGAGGCTTGAAAAAAATTCCAAATACTCAATATCTTCAGTTAATTTTCTGATTTTTAATTGAAAAATAGGTATTGTTATTCTCACACAGTACCTGTGAAAATTAATTGTGCTGATGTACAGGAAAAATTTGGTTATCTAAGATTTTATGAATATGTTGCTAAATTTCTGTTGGGATCACTTTGAAATGCATTAAATAAAAAGGAAATTGGAAAAGATCTTATGAAAGAATGAGTTTCATTAGCTTGTAAAAGTAGTTATAGCTCATAACTGTTGACAGAAATATAATTCAAGGGTCATAGGTAATTTTAATTTTTTGGTAGACACTTGAAGAACGCAAATGAGTAGTTTGGTATTTACAATATATTTAATTTAGCTACTATAGTTAAAATATTGTTTTTAATATACAATCAATATTAAAATTAAAATACTAATGAAATAATTTACTGCTTTTTATTTTTCACTAAGTTTTGAAGTATGCTATTATATTTTGCTATCTTAATTCAGACTATCCAGATTTCCAGTGGTCCCTACCCTCATGTGTCTAGGGGCTACCATATTGATTACCACAGTCATATAGTTATAGTTAATTGCATTAAGAACCATGAGCAACTGTTGAGTATTTGTGATGTACCAAACTTTCATTGTACTTTAGAAAATTGATCTAGTATCTCCCCAGCTTTCAAGATTGCTGGAATTGTTCTGACAAGATTTTCAAACTTTACCATACCTGTCCATTTGCAGGAATGAATTGAAGCAACACTATCGTCAATAACAGCAACACCTGGAATAATGCCATTGCTGAAAAAATGAAAGAAAGGGAGAAAGACTGGGTTTGAATTTCAATGTACAAACTTCTGAGGATCATAGGAAAACAAAACAAAACAATGCAATAATCTTGGCTATTCCAAATTGATTAGTAACATAACAAAATTTATACCCAAAACATTTCCAGTAAATATTATCATTCTGCAGGATTCCAAGATAATATTTACTGGAAATGTTTTGGGTATAAATTTTTCATCACATTTAATATTTATAAAGATAAAAATATTGTGACTAATTAAATGTTTATTAACAGGGAGATAAAATGTCTAAATAAATTAAAAAACACCAATTGGTAGAGAATATTAGACATGAAAATTGTGTTTATGGTGGCTTAATAACAAGGAAAATGCTTATGGTTCAAAGTTAAGTTTAAAAAAGCAGAACATCAAAGAGCATATGAAAGAGCCATAATCTATTATTATGGATGAATATTTGTGCCCTCTAAAAATTGATATATTAAAGCCCTTTCTTCTCAGTATGTCTGTATTTGTAATTGAATCACTAAGTAAATAAAGCGACATATCTTTGAATGGATCAAGATGTGGTATATATGCACAATGGAAAACTATTTAGCTATAAGATGTAACATTCTTTATCTATCTCTTATTGAATCTTTATAGGCATATGCCTACAGTCAAACTAAGGAGTTTTATTCTATATTTAAAAGACAAAAGAAAAAAACTGATTTAATAGACAATTTTTGTTCATTATTTTCTAAATTTCTCAAGCTCCTTCAGAAACCTACAGGCTCTGCACTCATTGCATAATGATTCATAGAAATGAATGACTATTTTTGTCAAAGAATAAAATGCTTTCACTCTTAGCTGGAGCTCCACACCCCAAAAATGTTTAGTGCAGTTTCATTGGAATTGATGTCTATTGACTCTAAAAAATTTTTGGATTCTGTCCCAGCTAAACTCTAACTAACAATGAAATTAACAAGAGGTTATTTATTACCTGCATGCTTCCTTCCTCTTGAGGGAATTATGTGAAGCAAAACAAGTCAGAAGGAGAAAGATAAATATTGGAAGATATTGAGTATATTTGCAATATAAGGAAACACAGTAGATGAATGGAAATAAACAAAAGAAAAATAAGGTAGTGGACAACAACAATGAAATTGAGGTTACCAGAAGGAAAGAGAGTGGGAATAGGTGCAAAAGTGGAGGGGGTCTAATGAATGGTGACACATGAAAAAAATTTAAAAATATAATATAAACATGCATTGCATAATAAAAAATAAAAATCAGACAAAGAACAAATGAGAATAGAAATTACAAGAGGATGACTTTATACTTTATGTGGCTAGACATTCTTTTTGCCTTTTCTATAAGTTTATATTATTGTAACTACAGTAATTAATAAAAGGACAGAACTTTAATACAAAGAGATTATTCAATCTTGGAAAAGTGTCTCTGATTTTGTTCCACCTTTATGTTGTAGCAACTTTGTGCAGCTAATAGTTTAGGCATTCTTTTTTTAAAAAAGATTTATTTATTTATGCATACAAGAACTGGGGTACAGGCCAGAGGTGCAGGGATTCTGATATCTGTGTAAAAGAGGAAAGAAGGCATGCAGGTGATAAATAACCTTGCTAATCTCATTGCTAGTTAGAGTTTAGCTGGGACAGAATCCAAAGTTTCTTTTAGAGTCAATATACGTCAATTCCCATGAAATTGTGTAAGTTTTTGGGGCGTGGGGCTCTAGCTAAAAATGTAAGCATTTTATTCTTTGACAAAAATAGCCATGCATTTCTACAAATCAGTACGCAATGGCTACAGAGTTTGTAGGTTTCTGAAAGAGTTTGAGAAAATTAGGAGAAAATTAACACAATTATCTATTCAATCTATTGATTTTTTTCTGTTGCCTTTCAAATATAGAATATAACTCCTAAGATTTGCAGTTCTCAAATAATATATTCTTTTTTAAAAAGATTTATTTATTTATGCATACAAGAACTGGGGGACAGGCCAGAGGTGTGGGGGGTGAGAGGATTTACCAGAGACAGAGTAGGGAACAGAACAGGCAGATTGACTGAAATACACTGCTGAGGGGAGCAGCGGGTGAGACAGGAGAGGTCTGTGGCGCCATATGGGTATCTCCGTGGCCAAGGATTGAACTTGTGCTGCAGTGGCTGCGAATAGTTTCATAGGTTGCTTCTTAACCCCTTGCATCACCAGGGAGGCCCACAAATAATATGTTCTTAAAATATCCTTCTTGAGAATAGGAAAACTCTTATTTATGTAACTTTGTTGAAATAACAGAGAACTTTGTTGGCATTTCCATGTAGCACTTTTGTCCATTTAAAAACTAATTGGGAAGGGAGGGAATTGAAATGGAAATTAAAAAATTGAAGGCATATGCCTATAAGGATTCTATAAAGGATTAAAAAGTATAAAAGAGCTGCTGCAATGCTTTTGAAATCTAAGCTTTTCTACTCTATTAAAATCTTACTCATAGCATTAGGGGATATTTGGTTTTGTTTATGTTACCTATTTAGGTGGAACAGAGGATGAGAAAATTATAAAAATTTAAAGACAGATAAGGAAAATATGAAAAGAATAATGAAATTATTTCTGTATAAAAACAAACACATAAATGTAATGTCAGTAAAAGACATTTTTAATTCTCAGGGATTTCCTGGCCTTATACTCAGCAACCTAAGCTTTAGTACCTAGTGCTATAATAAAAGAAGTATGTTTTTTATTGTTGTTGATGATGTTTTACCCAACTCTTTTTTAACTAGCTATATGAGATTGAAAATCTTCCTTTGTCATATTACAATGTGTGACATAATGTTGCCTCATAAGGTTCTTATGAGGTTTGAGGATATAATTAATGCTAAAGCAATTTGAAGACCACCACCAACAAAAAATCAGCATGTACATATAAGTCCTAGCATTAACATCACTATTTTGAATCATCATTTGGGATGGTCTCTCCCTCAGCTGATAGGGTTGCCTGATGAAATTTCCCAAAACCTTCAGGGATTTTCTGTTCTTAAGACAGCCATGTGGCCCAAGATTATGTTCCCTTCCCAGGTCAGCCACATCTTATCTGTCAGATGTGGGTTATAGAGGCCTGACCTCTTCTTAGCTTCAACTCTAAAATATTATCCCAGCTTAGAACTACTCAGAAGTAGCTGATTGGCTAAAGTCTAGAATGAGACTACATCACTGTTTGATTTCTACTTTTGACTAATCTTGTTTCCTGCACCTCTCTTCTTAAATAATTGATCCCAAATGTGTTTCTTAATAAACTGCCTTAGTCTCATATTTTATTACCATTACCTGAGAGAGTAGTAACTTCTAAACAAAGAGAGAAAATCCAAATCCAGGGATTTCAAGGATTTACATTGGCTTATTTCTATATAATTATAAGAAAGCAGAGCAAATTGAGTCTAAAGCACATGTAGATGACACACTTAAATTATAATATATTGTTCTTTGTTTTGGGCACAGAGCTCCTAATATATTGTTCTAATCAAATATAAAAGTTAATTGTTAAGTGCCAAGTATGTGTGTTGAATTCTATAATGTGAATAATATTATCTTAAATTTATGTTTAAGCGATTAGTTCTAGGGCCTCCCCTTGTGGTGCAGCGGTTGATCGCTGGGTTGCGAGGCTGCCCACAGCCTCTGCAGCGCTGGTTTGATCCCTGGCTGCTGGTGAGGGTCCCACATGGTGCACAGACCTCTCCTGCCGCCTGCTGCTCCCCTCAGCAGTGTACTTCGTCAGTCTGCCTGTTCTGTTCCCCGCTCTGGCTCTGGCGAATACTCTCACCCTCTCGTGCTTCTGACTGTACCCAGTGTTGTGCCCAAGATCAACAGACTTGGCAAGCATAGCCTCCAGGAACCCAAAAACAGCCGATGCAGACACAAAAGGGAGTTTATTACAGACTCGAGTCTGGGCTCAGGGCACCTACTGATGCAGCAGCAGATATTGAGAGCCCCGAACAAAGGAAGCAGGGGTTTTTTATAGGGTTAAATCATGCTGGCAGTTACTCATTGGCTACAAGGATGCGTTCTCCAACTTTGCCCAGCTATAATTCTAAGCTGACTGGCCTGGCCGAGATGCAGCTCCAGCCTGCAGCTCCAATTACGTTAAGATCGCCCTCATTGGTGACTGGAGGGCGAGGGTGGAGTGAGGGTTGAAACTGTCGAAATGATCTCTGGAATGAAATCGTCATTCCTGGGACAGCAAAACCTAAAATTCTACAATGGCAGTTACACACAAAATGACAAAGCAATGGCTAAGAATACTTATGCTTGGTTCCACACCCAGTGCTTATATAAATAAATACATAAATAAATAAATCTTAAAAAAAAAGAAACCATTACAAAAAAAGTGATTAGTTCTAAAAAGAATGTAAAATTCAAAGTACCTCAGCTAAGTAGTAGCTCAGAATTATCTGGCTTAAAATTCAGAGTTCCTTCAACCACAATGAAATGCATTTCACCATTCCAAGTTATTATTTGAATTTGCTTTTCCTGAAGATTTAGTAGGATGAAATTTTTGTTGCTGTTAGAAGAGTGATGCTTTATGAGGTAGAAATTAGCCAAGAGCACCAAGATTATTCACACTTGATGAGTGAAGGGGAAAATTCAAGTTATATCTGCTGTCCACTTCCCATTTTCAAAAATTGAGCAACCAGTCTCAAAGGAATCTCTCAAGGGAGAAGACTTAAGCCATAAAAGCATTTCAAAGCTAATTAGAAGCTACAGAAATCGGAAATTTCAGTGTATTGTATTTAAAGCAAAGAATGAATTGGCTATGTTTGCGTCTCAACCTAACTGTATTATCCAACCTAGCATTACTCATCCCTTTGTTAAATTGTCTGTTTCACTAGTATGGCCTTTATTTCACTTATGAAGTCATTTAAGAGGAAGAGAAAGAGTAATCCCTGCATTGTGGTAGCCTGGAGGGGAGCACTCATCACCACCTCAGGAAGTAGTATTATTAGTGGGTGGAGTCCACAAAGCCTGTATGGAATTAGCTTAGGACATCCTTTTCCCCCTAAGCTAATTCCATACAGGCTTTGTGGACTCCACCCCCCTAACAGTATCATCTCTACCCCTCCCTCCCATCTGCATTCCAGGGACATCTCAGTTGCATAGCATTGCAACTTCTGGCATACCAATCAGACTTCCTGAATGGGGCTGCTGGGAAAGAGGAAGTAGGTTGAATGTGGAGAAGAAATGAAGTCAGTGTTGAATGTGGAGAAGAAATGAAGTGATAAGGTGCCAGACTTGTGCACAACATAACACTGCTTAGTGGCCTAGGCCCCGCGAGGGATACAGTACACGGGCGCCTCCCCTTTTATTTTTTTTTAAGTAAAAGATACATATTTTATTTTGAGAAATAAGAGTTCTCAAGCAATCCAGAATAGAAGCCAGGAGTTTACTTGAAGCAACCAGCCACACTTGCTGCAGAAGTTCAGGTGCTGCAGAATCACTTTGGCCAGTGCTTCCTTAGATGCTCTTTCAGCTGAGGAATGGAGGGGAGCAGCTGCTGGCACTCATGACAGCGGAGGGCAACTTCAAGAGCTCGGATGTCCCATCTCGGACAGTCACTCTGCCAGTCTCTTGGACCATCTCGATAACAGCTTGTGATTCTAGGAAGTATTCTGTATTGAAAGAATTCCAGTGTTTTTTGTTTTTAAGACAAGGAGAATCAAAATCTTGGCTGATTACATGAAGGTGTACATGGCTCATGCTGGGAATGGCATGGTATCCCAGTCGGAAGCGGAATTTGCTGGACGCTGCAGAATCTGCAATCACCTTTTCCCCAACGCTGTGCATATGTTTGAGCAGTTCAAGATGTTCCCTGGTCACGGCCTTCAGACTAGAAATGGAGGCCCATGGTAAGACTAGCCAGTGGTGACGAGCCTTGGGGTAGTTATCCTTGATCACCACCACTTGCTCATCTTTGTAAACCTGCATTTTGGTGTCCTGCATGGAAATCTTCAAGCCCTGACTCCAGTGGCCCAATGATTCCTTTTTGGTAGATGTATCATCTCTGCTCTTCTTTGGGGGCACAGAGCATGGGCTAGGGTTGCTCCCGGGTTCCAGCCCCTCCCTGGGCTTGGCTTCCTGAGCAGCATCACTTTCCATAGAATCACTATTGCTTGACCTCTTTCTCTTCAGGTTTGTTCCCAGGTCAGGGCTCTTGGCCTCTTCCTCAAACTCTGCTTTACCTTGACATATCCCTTGTCACACTCTGCTTTCAAATGTACTTCGCCATGGGTCTCTCACCCACATCTGTTTCAACCAGTGCAGGACCAAAAGGCAAGCGCAGTTTCTTCACATGTCTCTCTGCTCTACCTATCTCCTCCAGGTCTCCTTCTTGCTCTCCATCCTGCTTCCTCCCTTCCTTAGTCTCTTCACCAGCTTCTTCTCTCTGCTCAGATACACCCACCTTTGGGTGGGGCATGGAACCTGGAATTTCCCCTTTTCCTGGGGACTACCCTGAGCAGCAGTACTTTTCCTTAATTCTTCACTGCAAATTGCAGGTAGACCCTTGGCATTGGAGTTTCCCTGGGTTGTGTGGTAGCGGTGAGCCGCGGCGCCCGCGCGGCCCCCTCGGGAGGGGGGTGTCTTCGGGGCCCGCGGGCCACGGGCGGAGGCGGTTGGCCCGCGTGGGCGGGAGGCTGTGGGTTCCGGCTTCCAGGGGCCCCTCGGCGTGCGCTGTGGTGCCGCGGCCACGGTCTCTGGCGCCCCTGAGGGAGTCCGAGGGCGTTGGCCCCCTCCACGCCGCAGCCGGTCTGTGGTCCCCGGGGACCGGCGCCCTCTTCTCCGCCCCCGCCTACGCCTCCCCTTTTAAAGACCTGTAGGTGACTTCACAAAAATCAAGACTTGCAGAGGCTACAAATAGTCACTTGTTCTGATCTGCACCTACTCCAGGTGTTACTCCATGGATTAACCACTCCTGAGTTAAGCCAGCCTGTCCAAAGACACCAAAGAAGTGGACAGCCTGCCCAGACCCTACATACTAACTCAGGCTTACCTTGCAGAGACCCTGACAAGACACCTGACCTTTCTACAGCCCTGCTCCAACCACAACCCAAAGCTGGTTGGTCAACCCCTGGCAGAAGCTTGAGGAACATCAGATGGATGTTCATAAACTGTTGGAGTGACCCCCAGTGTTTGTTGTTTTTCCTATTTCCTTTTGGTTTGGCCGTTCTTGTTGTATTAGCTTATTGCTTGCACTGTCCCAAAATCTGGGGGCAAGCCTCCTGTGTTTTGGGCTCCGGCAAACACCCTAACATCTCTATCTTGCACACACATTTCCAAGTCTTTTGTTCTCTGTGTGCTGCAAATGGAACTTTTTTTGTTTGCTTTACTGGCATCTTTAGATGTCTAATTCTACCTGATGTGAGTCTTTGTGTCCTTACCTTACTCATCCCTGACTTCAAACTTCTGTCAGGTGAGCAAGCTACCCAACTCTCATATACCAGCCCTGGGCATCATTCAAAATGCCTCCCTTTAGTCATCCCACTGTGTGTGGCCCTTGGTGTTTCTTAAGGGATGGGCTTGGGGGCAGCAGGCTTTGGGGTAGCACAAAGCAAGTTCACAGTCCTCTTCCTACAAGTTGACTGAGACCTAAGTAATGTGGCCCAGTCTTTAAGTGACCTCCAGGATCAAATGGACTCTTTACCAGCTGTTGTTCTCCAGAACCGGGAGGGTCCCTACCCTCTTCCTGAGTTCACTAGTCTCCATTATTTTGCTGCTTGCCCTCGGAACTTGTGTTCTTAATTTGACCTTAATTTTCTTAATTTGACCACCCGGTTTATCCAGTCCCATTTAGGAGCTATAAGCTTCAATTATTGGTTGGGCAATATGAGCCCTTAAACTCCTTTTCCTAACACCTCCTATGGGTCCTCGTATTGATACTCCCTAGCTTTTTGCACAGTTATCAGAAGGAAGGAAATGAAGCAGGAAGTTGCTAAAATCTGCTGCTTGGATTCTGTTGCTTGCTGGAGTGGAAAGTTCCTGCAGAGTGCTTGCCCATAGTAGTAGTTATGGCTACCTTGACCCCTTCCCCAAACAATAAAGCAAGTCTGTGATAGATGGGGTAACACGTTTCCACATACAGACTGTATAAAACCTTACCATCCCTGCAATTTGGGGCTCAGACTTTTGGGAGCTATCCCACTGGGCCTGACGGTGTGAGGAATAAATCTCTCTCCACCTCTCTGAGTGCTGCCTAATTTCTCTGGGAAATTGCCATAACATTATTCCTTCCAGCTTCCCAGTGTACCCTGCTCTCTACTTAACTGACCCCAGACGTTATCTTGTGTGCCAGTGGCTTCAGTTGTGGCATAAGGCTGGGAGTGGGGTTAGCCTGGGCCCCTGGGTGACAGGCAGCCAGAGCAAGAGGGGGACTTGGTGACTCAGCCCTGGACCTTGACCTGATCTCTATAGCACTCATCTCTCACCAATTAGAGATCCTACCCCCTACTTTTCTTAAACGTGTCTTTAATTCTTATTTATTTATTTAAAGATTTATTTTATTTATTTATACAAGCACTGGGTACAGTCAGAAGTGCAGAAGGACGAGAGAATTCACCAGAGCCAGAGCAGGGAGCAGAGCAGGCAGAAGAACTGAAGTGCACTGCTGAGGGGAGCAGCGGGCAGCAGGAGAGATCTGCGCGCCATGTGGGACCCTCCTCCTGTAGCCGGGGAGCAACCGGGGATCGAACCGGCGCCGCAGAGGCCGTGGGCAGCTTCGCAACCCAGCGCTCGACCGCTGCGCCCAACGTGTCTTTAATTCTTAAAACAAAATAAGCAATAAAAGAAAATTCTATCACAAAAAATATTCTTTAATTCAGTCCCTAGTTACAGCTGTTTGGGAAAAAACACAAATTTGTGAGAATCTGGTAATAGCAATATACTAAATTTTTATAGCATATGTTATAGCTATTTAAGAAACTATGTGCATAGTATTTAACATTGGGAACAATAAAAGAATAAGTAATGGCATGGCTATTGTTCAGTATCAGAGAGGAAGAAGTAATATTGTTATGATTTTCAATGATATGCTCACCTCTTCAGAGAATACACAATAATCAGTAAATTTGCAGGGTGCAATATCAACCTACATAAAATAGCATTGTCATGTATCAGCAATACTCAACTAGAAAATAAGATTGAAAAAAGAGCTACTGCTCATAATAGTAACAAAACCATATAGTATCTCTAAAATAATCAAGAATAAAAAAAATCTTTTAGAGAAAACTTTGAAACTCTAATAAAGATCATAAAGGAAGATTTGCATAAATTGAGAGATTTTTGTGCTCTTAAATGGTATGCAACAATATAATAAATATATTAATCTTAAACTGATATGAATATTCTTTATAACACAATAAGAAATCTGCCCCATGAATAGGTAAATAAATATTTTATAAGAATAATTAATTTGGGTATCTTTTCATGTTAGTTATTTTAAGACTTCAAAATAACATTGACAAAAATTTGATATTATTGTAAGAACAGGCAAGTGGACTAATTAATGGAGGCGAGTAGAAAAGAAACAGGTCAAATAAGACTGTATGAAAAAGTATCAGAGGAAGAACAGATTATCCAAAAGTGGTATTGGGAAAATTAGCTCACTATATGGGGGAAAAAAATAAAACCAGACCTTTTAAAAGTTTTACTTATAAAGTTAAATGTAAGGGGATTAAATTTATAAATAGATAAAAGGTAACTTTTATGGGCTGTACCTCTTTTCCTTAAGTGAACCACAAATAATAATGCCAATATATGGTGTTTTTGTGTTTTGTGTGAAACATTGTATCACTCTTTATGAGATCACTTAAAACTAATAAGAATCTGGACAATAAATGGTGTTACTCAATACCCCAGTTTACAGATGGGCAGTATCAGGATCAGAGATTTAATAATAAAATACCATAAATATGCAAACAGAAGGAACAGGTGGATAAGCCCAGACAGTGTGGCTTCCAAGCCCTTTCTCCTGTAAGGTCTTAGAATTGTTTAAAGTGATATTACAGACCAGAAAAGTTGGCATTAAAAGCATCAACACACAAGTGTATAATGTGTGCATTACTGATATAGACACATTTAGATCATAATCACAACAAAGAAAATTTCTGATGCAATATTTTCAAATTTTAAATATAATGTTGACACTTTGATTATTTCATCTTACCTCTTGTCTGTTAGACAGAAAGCAGCCCATAATACTGGAGCCTATGATGCTATAAAAGTTTAGAGATTTTCTAGCCTTCATTATATAGGAAATATATAAAGACATCTGAATAATAATAGTCACCCTCACACTTCCCAAAAAGCAATCTTTTTTCCTTTCTAAGTGTGAATTACTTCCCATTTCTTTAAATTTCTAAACTATATCACTAGAATTTTTAGCAGTGTCTGATTTAAACATTACTTCATAGTTCTGACACTCTTCCTTACAATATATCTCTTCCTTTTACAAATCTGAACTCATCTCAGTGGCCTCAATTGACCTTACAAAGTACAATTGACCTTACAGTAGCTCCTGAACTTGAAGTTTGTCATCAGTATAATTACCTTAGACTGTTCCAGAGCATTAATCATACAGGTAAACATTCTAGTTTTGGTGTTTAGCTAGCTGAAGAGGTGTAACACTAGATCGTTTCTGACAATAGTATAAATCCTCTCCAAGTTTCCTGGATGACATTTAGCTGTAGAGGAAAAAAGTGATAATAAAATAAGATCTTCCCTTTATGAGGTAATTCCTTTTACACTGTTGTTATTTAGGTACTTCTGTTGTCAGTCCAGGATCACTTCATATTTGTCAAGGAATATAGAGTTCTATGTGGAAATTATTTCCTTATATAAAATATATGCAAATGATATTATATACATATATAAATTACTTACATAGATGAGTAGAATGACTTCTGATTGGACAACTCTAAAGGTCTTTTGTTGATTTCAGTGAATGGGGCTGCTTATTATGTATCTTATGTTGATAATCTTTAATGGAGTATTTTTTTATCGCAAGGTGTGCTAATTTTGTTAGGATGAACTTAAAACAATTAGCAAGAGCTTCCTATATTTGAAAATTATCTTCATTATCATGTCTAAATATGTTAATATTAATAGTTATTAAAATGAAAGTGTATACAGATATAAAACATGTTCTTTAATTTTTAATATTAAAAGAAATCCTAGCATAATTACTTATAAATGTCATAGACAAGGGAATTCATTTTATTACTTATTTTACAGTGAAACTTACATCATTTAAATATTAAATTGGATTGAAGGTGTTTTGGGAATAATAGTTAATACGTTATTTTCTTGGTTTAAAAAATAGTATAATAATGGGAACATTACTGTCAATAAGAGCTATTAACAGACATTTAAAAATCATATATTCATTTCCTATATATCATTTTATCATAAATATATTGGCATAATAAAATAGTATACCTTTAAAAAAGGAGTATCACTTACCATTGGTTCTAAGAGTAGAATGAAGTTTCTGCTTTATCTGTAGGAAGAAGGAAGGTAGAGAGAGACAAGTAAGAGAGGTATATATGCAGTACATCCGTTTCCTGTTATGGCAAATCCTGGTTGTGCAAGTAAATTTAAGCCAATCAGGTCTGAAACAGGATTTGTCATACCAATAGTGTCAAATTTCATTGCTGGTTGTCTAACTGCACTTTTGACATTCTCTAGCAATTCTTCACTTGGCTTTTAAAAATAAATGGCTCTTCAAATTAAGCAATTGTACATTTATTCTTTGGCACTCATATTCTGTTAAAATTTATCCACACTTGCTAATCAATACTTTGACAATTCCTAATGAAATTATTCTTTTTACATTAGTGTTTTCCAGATTACTTCTGTAAGAGTAAAGCAAAGCTATTGCTTTTGTGAACGCTAAAGAATGCAATGTTCTCTCACAGGGATCTAACTAGTCTGTTGGGTCTCTTTGTTTTGGAAAATAATTTAGTATTTACGTTTGTAAGTAGAAGGTGATGGTGCTTTTGAGTACATAATGACAAAAGACCCCATATCTCACTGATATTTCTAAGCTCTCATTTCTCCTGATATTAATATTTATTTTCTGGTTTCATGATATTCAATGTAACATTGATCTGCTTTACATAAATATCATTTTGTTTGATCACATTGCTGTTTTTTGTGGAAGTCTTTATTTAATCATTCCAGACTTGTTTCTGTATCTCAAAAGTGAAGGGGATTGAACTGAAAATCTCAGGTTTCCTCTGCCTCAAAAATGCAATGATTTAAAATACTGAATTTTTATAAAATACAATCATTTCAAATATGAAGTTTTTAAAATTAATAAATCAAAAATAGCAGCTACATAGCAACAAGCATATCTGTGTTCTCTTCTTAGCATAGTGATTGAAAAATGTGATGCATGACAGTAATTTCTGTTCCTTTTTATGTTTGTACTATTGAGTTATGTGAAGAAAATGTACTCAAACAATGCCTGCTCAATAGATAATGATAGTCAACCAATAAGTTAAATACTTAGATATCATTCTTTATGCTCTTTATAAGAGAGTTTAGAACTCAGGTTGCATTTTACCATTAAAAAAAGTCCTTGCCACTTGGCTGCCTTGTTTCCAGGTCACCAGTTAACCCCTACAATGTATTTTATGCCATGTGTATGTGAGCTAGAAACCCTCAATGAGCTGAATCAGCCACCTGGATAAAATCACCTTGGGATTACTATCAATGAATTTTTTTTTTTAATGCAAACCTACTTTTGTGGAAGTATGCATTTCTTGGTCATAAACAGATGCAGAAACATCCAGAGTCCATCCCCCTCACTACTTAATGGTTATTGTTAATGACTCGGGATTCATGGTTTGACACACATATGTGGGTTAAATTTCTGTGGCTATATGTATTGGAAAATTATTGTTGACCCTTTAATTTTCACAGCTACAAATTATAATAGATTATTTTATTTAATTGTGTTAAAATGCAATAATATAATTAAGTTGCCTGACAAGTGGTAAGAATTTCTAAAGTGTTTGTTCCTTCCCTCTTTATGTGCTTCTTTTCCTCTCTGTGTCAGGACAGACCTGCCCTGAAATTTACATGCTATGGGGATTGCACTTGAATCTTAAGAGTGTTGGTTTGACTCACTAAGGTATAGGTAGTTCTGTGAGAAATCACTTTAAGAAGTAGATAAAAAGTGTTATAAAAGGGAACTATATTTTTGGCTCATTATTAACAATATATTTCATTTAACTTTATATTTATAGTTATGACTAAAATTGTTATTTACACCATGAGACATGTTTTGCTTGCCAAATATTAGCAACTATTTTTATAGCATAGGTTTGCTTTCATGAGTGAAAAGCGTATTTCACATATAACTCTACAAACAAGTCCTAACATATGAAACTCAGTAAATGGAATTAGTAATGTTATTCTCTTCTTCAAAGTTAGGTATTTGTTGAGTATATAAAATATTTCCACAGTGCATTTTGTTTGATTAAATCGCTAATATTGGAATATTTATGACTTTTTCTCCTTTTAAATGTCATGGGAAAGAACATTTAATCAGTTTAAATGTTCAAGGCCCAGTATTATTGGAGACCATCAGGCTGAGCTTAGTAAAATTAGTGGTCATCTCTGATCCTCTATATTTGTGCCAAGAAACTTATGGTAATAAGCTTAGGGGCATTTTAGAATTAACTTTAACATAAATAATATGTTTATAAATGAGTTGTTTTGAAGAATTATTCTTTGATATAATTTAATGACATTAATGTGCAGGAAAAAGAGTTTGTGTACCAATTGATTTATATATTTTTTTTCATTTCCTTAGCCCCTGTAGTTCATTCCCCAATGCATTCGCCCTGTAGGAATATTTCCTATTTATTATAAGTTATAGCCTTAAATAACATGTGTCATACCTCCCTCCCTCCCACACATATTTCTTGGTAGCTACCATTTTACTCTTTGATTTTATGACTTTGGCTTTTATAGTTCCCATATATAAGTGATGTCATACAGAGCTTGTGTTTCTCTGTCTGACTTATCTCATTTAGCATGACCTCAAGACCAATCCATGGTTGAATGACATACCACGAGATATATGTGTGTATACATACATAATATACCATCATATATGACAAATATATAGGATACCACCACGTTCATATCTTTTCCAATTCCTTATCACTATACACCAAACAATATGAACAAAAATCTTAATTATAATTTATGTGTTATTTCCTTCAGTGTATGACTCATTTGCCAGTATCATACATATGTACATCTATATGTCTTAGGCCAGGCTCTTTAGAAATAAAACATGAAACACATTATATTGTCTAAGATTTAATTTTTAATTAAAAAATTTAAATTTAGAACTTTTTTTTTTTACATCTTCATAAATTTTTGGAAAATAAATGATTTCTCCCCTCAGTTGACCTTTGTTCTTCCACCACCAAAGCACCCATAGTCCATCACCATAGTCCCTCATGTCCTCTCACCTCTTCTTACCCCTTCTCCCTTGCCTCCCTGATGCCTCATATCTATGGTCAGTTTTCAAGGTTAGTCTTTGACCCTTTGTTTTATTTTTCTACATTTCACCTATAATCGAACCATCCAATATTTATCTTTTTCCTTCTGACTTGTTTTGCTTAACATCAATCCTTCCAGCTCCACCCTTGTTGCTGCAAATGATTGCCTTAGATTTAAATGAGGAGGCTCCCTTCAGGAAAAAAATCTGTAAGGAAAGGTGTGAAGCAGACTGGGAAAGGCAAGGACATATGGAAAAATGTGTCCTCAGGAAAAGTCTAACCCTTCCTGACACACAGGGCCAGAGCTCCAGACAGCATTTTATAATGTATGACTCAGTTAATCATTGTCGGTGGTAAATGTTGTTACCTTATTGGCAAGATGGCTCCATAGGGGAAAGACAATGCTCTTAAGAAGAGGGACAGATATGGCACTTAGTTGTTCCTAGCCACCATAGCAGGGGGGACAGGGATATTGCCTCCAGGAGAGAGTGACTGTGTGATGACTAAATATCTACCACTTTGTGGGAGATTATTTAAATTACTTTATTATTTCCATGACTCAGCAATATCATCTGAAAAATGAAGGGAGAGAGAAAATAATTTAAAAGCTCTTACTCCTAAAATTCAGTGACTCTCTTTTAGGAAAAAAAAGAAAACAAGGTTCTGTCCTGTTTCATTCATTATATTGATGTACTTACCTGCTAAATTATGGGATTTTTGCTAGTCTTGACTTTAATCCAGTTTTCTGTATTCTTATCTATAAATAATAAGTGTGGTGTAATGTGAATGGGGATAGGAAATTATTTTTAACAGTCAACCTTGATTACAAGAGCTGATATATTTCTTTGAGAACAATTGTGAAAGGCTAAATTGTTTCCTTGGATGAGAGGAAGATACATTTTAGCCAAATGAACTTTTCAAAGTTCATTTAATTCCTTTCAGTTCTTTGACTCCATGAATTCTTTCTATTCTTAAACCACAAACCACACTCCACCCCCTAGTTTCTCAGATATATTTCTTTTACTTCATCTTCCTACAGCTTTCATCTTGAACTTTGGTTGGGAAGAATATGAGGATATTTTAATGCTGAAAGAGAACACTGATATTATCTATATATGAATGCACATACATATATGTTACCGGAACTTTTGCTTTTGAAAATAATATAATTTTGTTCTGTTAGTAGTTATGGTCATAATACTGTTATCAAGGCAGACCTCAGAAGAGAAAAAGTGACATATCATTGCTATTGTCTAGTCTTCAAGCTACTAAAATTTCTAAAAACATGATATAGTTAGGGAAATCCTATTACTATCTAATGAATAAGCACAGATTGTAAATAGAAAACAATAATATCTATTTCAAATATAATGCCTAGAAGATGCTGAGAAAGACAGATTCCCAAACCGAATACCAAGAGAGGTTTTATTTGTGTGCAGAAGGAGGAAGAGAGTGAGAAGAGGAGAAGAAAATAGTTTGTTCATACTCTATTCTCTTCACTCGCATGGGCTGACTATCACTAATTGCATACTTCTCATCACAAAAATTCATGGGTCATAATAATCACTTCATCAAGATTTTCACAATTGTACATTCCTATTTCCATAGAAAACTGCTTATATGATGAGATTTCAGGAGTACTCAGAAGCTAAGGGGATCTCTAGAGTACCTCATACATTAACTTACAGTTGCTTGAAATTTCTTATGTTTGAAATTCCCTGAATAGAGAGCAAAGCTGTTTATTATCCTATTGGGAATAGATTGATGTAACATAGGAGGCAAAGATGAATTGAGGGGTGGGTCTGTCAATTTTTGGATTTAAGTATCTGAGTTAAGTAGCTTATCTATACATATTGTTGTATTACTAACTTCACAAGTTATTGTTAGACTAGAGAAAAAAACTGTTCAAAAGGTGCTTCAAAAATACAATTTCACACAGAAACATCAATT